TCCGTTCAAATCGATCCCACTAAATGGTATTAGTGTTGGTATTTCTAGCCATTGCCATGCTATTGCTATTGGTCAGTCTTCAACTCTAATGCCTTGCCTTGCCTTGCCTTACCTTGGCTACTAGTAGTCTGCGTGGTTGCTTGTCAAGTCCAGCCAATGTATTATTTGTTGTCGATGCATTGACAATTGGAGTGGAAGTATTGCAGTTACAGCTTCTTTTCACAACACATATATGTATGTGGATTCGTTAGCTAGCTCGCTCGTTCATTTAGTTGTAGTAGTTCACAATGAGACAGTGAGTATATCATAGAAATGCATATGAATGAATGAAGAAGCTGTAAAGAATCAATGAGAAGAAAGAAATATAATATGTGTTGAATTAGTTTTCATTGTTCATTGTCTTACCTTCTTCACCTTTGCCATGAATAAGTTGCTTCAATGCTTCCTTCGCCTTCCTTCAAAATGGTGTTGTTGGTGTTGATGAAGAAATTCGATGAAGTATCTGTGGAAATATGGATAATTGTTAATTATTTTCATTTGCAATTGGAATTGAAGTTCAATGTAAATGAAATTCAAATTGATTAGAAGAATAAATGTGAGACCTACTTTTGATGTCACTCGAAATGAAAATGAAGAGCAAAAAAAAAAAAAAAAAAAAAAAAAAAAAAAAAAAAAAAAAAAAAGGTCCTCACCAGCAATGTTGGTCTACCGGCCGGGCCTCTATTTATACCCTGAAAATTTGCCGCCTGCGGCGCATTTCTTCTTCACACTAACCCGTCCAATTTGGTCACGCTGCGGGCCTCTACTTATACCCTGAAAAATTGGCCGCCTGCGGCGCTTTTGTCTTGACACTTACCCGTCCCAAGCCGCCTACGGCGCAATTCCTCAATGCGACAGTCCTACATAGCGGCCTGCGGCGCATAATCCACTAGTGAGTATCAAATACCAGAGGCGAAGCACTTAGCACTCCAACAAAGGCTACAATTCCGCGTGTTCAGGTGGCAATCCGGATGTACGATGTAGAGATGCGCATCATTCATCCAAGTCTCAGCAGCAGTACGAAATGTTGGGAGTTGCGGGAATAATTAGTGGTTCTGGGGGTATAGTCGGACTACGGCCATAAGCCATGTAGTCGTGAAAAGCTCAACACCATATGGCCTCCCATGATTGCACCGTGTCGAACCTCTAACACTCGCTCACTCACTTCATCAGCTCTTTACAATTGCATATACATTGATAGCTAACACCAACATCAATATCACATCAACATCAACACCAACATCAATAACAATTCTACTACAACTACTCCTTCACGTAACAATTCGATCACTTTTTCACTTACATCTTCCATTGATGGCCACTGCCAATTGCCTTTCGCCTTTGTCATCTCGTTGCCTTGCCTTGCTGTCTCATCAATACTTTCTTCAATTTCAACTTCAACTTCACCACCAATTTCAGCTGCAACTTCAATGTATGCACTAGAATATCCGTTCAAATCGATCCCACTAAATGGTATTAGTGTTGGTATTTCTATTGCCATTGCCATTGCTATTGCTATTGGTCAGTCTTCAACTCTAATGCCTTGCCTTGCCTTGCCTTACCTTGGCTACTAGTAGTCTGCGTGGTTGCTTGTCAAGTCCAGCCAATGTATTATTTGTTGTCGATGCATTGACAATTGGTGGAAGTGGAAGTATTGCAGTTACAGCTTCTTTTCACAACACATATGTATGTGGATTCGTTAGCTAGCTCGCTCGTTCATTTAGTTGTAGTAGTTCACAATGAGACAGTGAGTATTATCCATAGAAATGCATATGAATGAATGAAGAAGCTGTAAAGAATCAATGAAAGAAAGAAAGAATATTAATATGTGTTGAATTAGTTTTCATTGTTCATTGTCTTACCTTCTTTCACCTTTGCCATGAATAAGTTGCTTCAATGCTTCCTTCGCCTTCCTTCAAATGGTGTTGTTGGTGTTGATGAAGAATTTCGATGAAGTATCTGTGGAAATATGGATAATGTTAATTATTTTCATTTGCAATTGGAATTGAAGTTCAATGTTAAATGAAATTCAAATTTGATTAGAAGAATAAATGTGAGACCTACTTTTGATGTCACTCGAAATGAAAATGAAGAGCAAAAAAAAAAAAAAAAAAAAAAAAAAAAAAAAAAAAAGGTCCTCACCAGCAATTTTGTCTACCTGCCGGGCCTCTATTTATACCCTGAAAAATTTGCCGCCTGCGGCGCATTTCTTCTTCACACAAACCCGTCCCAATTTGGTCACTCTGCGGGCCTCTACTTATACCCTGAAAAATTTGCCGCCTGCGGCGCATTTTTTCTTGACACTTACCCGTCCCAAGCCGGCCTACGGCGCAATTCCTCCAATGCAGACAGTCTTACATAGCCGGCCTGCGGCGCATAATCCACATAGTGAGTATCAAATACCAGAGGCGAAGCACTTAGCACTCCAACAAAGGCTACAATTCCGCGTGTTCAGGTGGCAATCCGGATGTACGATGTAGAGATGCGCATTCATTCATCCAAGTCTTCAGCAGCAGTACGAAATGTTGGGAGTTGCGGGAATAATTAGTGGTTCTGGGGGTATAGTCGGACTACGGCCATAAGCCATGTAGTCGTGAAAGCTCAACACCATATGGCCTCCCATTATTGCACCGTGTCGGAACTCTAACACTCGCTCACTCACTTCATCAGCTCTTTACAATTGCATATACATTGATAGCTAACACCAACATCAATATCAACATCAACATCAACACCAACATCAATAACAATTCTACTACAACTACTCCTTCACGTAACAATTCGATCACTTTTTCACTTACATCTTCCATTGATGGCCACTGCCAATTGCCTTTCGCCTTTGTCATCTCGTTGCCTTGCCTTGCTGTCTCATCAATACTTTCTTCAATTTCAACTTCAACTTCACCACCAATTTCAGCTGCAACTTCAATGTATGCACTAGAATATCCGTTCAAATCGATCCCACTAAATGGTATTAGTGTTGGTATTTCTATTGCCATTGCCATTGCTATTGCTATTGGTCAGTCTTCAACTCTAATGCCTTGCCTTGCCTTGCCTTACCTTGGCTACTAGTAGTCTGCGTGGTTGCTTGTCAAGTCCAGCCAATGTATTATTTGTTGTCGATGCATTGACAATTGGAGGAAGTATTGCAGTTACAGCTTCTTTTCACAACACATATATGTATGTGGATTCGTTAGCTAGCTCGCTCGTTCATTTAGTTGTAGTAGTTCACAATGAGACAGTGAGTATTATCCATAGAAATGCATATGAATGAATGAAGAAGCTGTAAAGAATCAATGAAAGAAAGAAGAATATTAATATGTGTTGCAATTAGTTTTCATTGTTCATTGTCTTACCTTCTTTCTACCTTTGCCATGAATAAGTTGCTTCAATGCTTCCTTCGCCTTCCTTCAAAATGGTGTTGTTGGTGTTGATGAAGAATTTCGATGAAGTATCTGTGGAAATATGGATAATTGTTAATTATTTTCATTTGCAATTGGAATTGAAGTTCAATGTTAAATGAAATTCAAATTTGATTAGAAGAATAAATGTGAGACCTACTTTTGATGTCACTCGAAATGAAAATGAAGAGCAAAAAAAAAAAAAAAAAAAAAAAAAAAAAAAAAAAGGTCCTCACCAGCAATTTTGTCTACCTGCCGGGCCTCTATTTATACCCTGAAAAATTTGCCGCCTGCGGCGCATTTCTTCTTCACACAAACCCGTCCCAATTTGGTCACTCTGCCGGGCCTCTACTTATACCCTGAAAAATTTGCCGCCTGCGGCGCATTTTTTCTTGACACTTACCCGTCCCAAGCCGGCCTACGGCGCAATTCCTCCAATGCAGACAGTCTTACATAGCCGGCCTGCGGCGCATAATCCACATAGTGAGTATCAAATACCAGAGGCGAAGCACTTAGCACTCCAACAAAGGCTACAATTCCGCGTGTTCAGGTGGCAATCCGGATGTACGATGTAGAGATGCGCATTCATTCATCCAAGTCTTCAGCAGCAGTACGAAATGTTGGGAGTTGCGGGAATAATTAGTGGTTCTGGGGGTATAGTCGGACTACGGCCATAAGCCATGTAGTCGTGAAAGCTCAACACCATATGGCCTCCCATTATTGCACCGTGTCGGAACTCTAACACTCGCTCACTCACTTCATCAGCTCTTTACAATTGCATATACATTGATAGCTAACACCAACATCAATATCAACATCAACATCAACACCAACATCAATAACAATTCTACTACAACTACTCCTTCACGTAACAATTCGATCACTTTTTCACTTACATCTTCCATTGATGGCCACTGCCAATTGCCTTTCGCCTTTGTCATCTCGTTGCCTTGCCTTGCTGTCTCATCAATACTTTCTTCAATTTCAACTTCAACTTCACCACCAATTTCAGCTGCAACTTCAATGTATGCACTAGAATATCCGTTCAAATCGATCCCACTAAATGGTATTAGTGTTGGTATTTCTATTGCCATTGCCATTGCTATTGCTATTGGTCAGTCTTCAACTCTAATGCCTTGCCTTGCCTTGCCTTACCTTGGCTACTAGTAGTCTGCGTGGTTGCTTGTCAAGTCCAGCCAATGTATTATTTGTTGTCGATGCATTGACAATTGGGAAGTGGAAGTATTGCAGTTACAGCTTCTTTTCACAACACATATATGTATGTGGATTCGTTAGCTAGCTCGCTCGTTCATTTAGTTGTAGTAGTTCACAATGAGACAGTGAGTATTATCCATAGAAATGCATATGAATGAATGAAGAAGCTGTAAAGAATCAATGAAGAAGAAAGAAATATTAATATGTGTTCAATTAGTTTTCATTGTTCATTGTCTTACCTTCTTTCACCTTTGCCATGAATAAGTTGCTTCAATGCTTCCTTCGCCTTCCTTCAAAATGGTGTTGTTGGTGTTGATGAAGAATTCGATGAAGTATCTGTGGAAATATGGATAATTGTTAATTATTTTCATTTGCAATTGGAATTGAAGTTCAATGTTAAATGAAATTCAAATTTGATTAGAAGAATAAATGTGAGACCTACTTTTGATGTCACTCGAAATGAAAATGAAGAGCAAAAAAAAAAAAAAAAAAAAAAAAAAAAAAAAAAAAAAAAGGTCCTCACCAGCAATTTTGTCTACCTGCCGGGCCTCTATTTATACCCTGAAAAATTTGCCGCCTGCGGCGCATTTCTTCTTCACACAAACCCGTCCCAATTTGGTCACTCTGCCGGGCCTCTACTTATACCCTGAAAAATTTGCCGCCTGCGGCGCATTTTTTCTTGACACTTACCCGTCCCAAGCCGGCCTACGGCGCAATTCCTCCAATGCAGACAGTCTTACATAGCCGGCCTGCGGCGCATAATCCACATAGTGAGTATCAAATACCAGAGGCGAAGCACTTAGCACTCCAACAAAGGCTACAATTCCGCGTGTTCAGGTGGCAATCCGGATGTACGATGTAGAGATGCGCATTCATTCATCCAAGTCTTCAGCAGCAGTACGAAATGTTGGGAGTTGCGGGAATAATTAGTGGTTCTGGGGGTATAGTCGGACTACGGCCATAAGCCATGTAGTCGTGAAAGCTCAACACCATATGGCCTCCCATTATTGCACCGTGTCGGAACTCTAACACTCGCTCACTCACTTCATCAGCTCTTTACAATTGCATATACATTGATAGCTAACACCAACATCAATATCAACATCAACATCAACACCAACATCAATAACAATTCTACTACAACTACTCCTTCACGTAACAATTCGATCACTTTTTCACTTACATCTTCCATTGATGGCCACTGCCAATTGCCTTTCGCCTTTGTCATCTCGTTGCCTTGCCTTGCTGTCTCATCAATACTTTCTTCAATTTCAACTTCAACTTCACCACCAATTTCAGCTGCAACTTCAATGTATGCACTAGAATATCCGTTCAAATCGATCCCACTAAATGGTATTAGTGTTGGTATTTCTATTGCCATTGCCATTGCTATTGCTATTGGTCAGTCTTCAACTCTAATGCCTTGCCTTGCCTTGCCTTACCTTGGCTACTAGTAGTCTGCGTGGTTGCTTGTCAAGTCCAGCCAATGTATTATTTGTTGTCGATGCATTGACAATTGGTGGAAGTGGAAGTATTGCAGTTACAGCTTCTTTTCACAACACATATATGTATGTGGATTCGTTAGCTAGCTCGCTCGTTCATTTAGTTGTAGTAGTTCACAATGAGACAGTGAGTATTATCCATAGAAATGCATATGAATGAATGAAGAAGCTGTAAAGAATCAATGAAGAAAGAAAGAAATATTAATATGTGTTGAATTAGTTTTCATTGTTCATTGTCTTACCTTCTTTCACCTTTGCCATGAATAAGTTGCTTCAATGCTTCCTTCGCCTTCCTTCAAAATGGTGTTGTTGGTGTTGATGAAGAATTTCGATGAAGTATCTGTGGAAATATGGATAATTGTTAATTATTTTCATTTGCAATTGGAATTGAAGTTCAATGTTAAATGAAATTCAAATTTGATTAGAAGAATAAATGTGAGACCTACTTTTGATGTCACTCGAAATGAAAATGAAGAGCAAAAAAAAAAAAAAAAAAAAAAAAAAAAAAAAAAAAAAAGGTCCTCACCAGCAATTTTGTCTACCTGCCGGGCCTCTATTTATACCCTGAAAATTTGCCGCCTGCGGCGCATTTCTTCTTCACACAAACCCGTCCCAATTTGGTCACTCTGCCGGGCCTCTACTTATACCCTGAAAAATTTGCCGCCTGCGGCGCATTTTTTCTTGACACTTACCCGTCCCAAGCCGGCCTACGGCGCAATTCCTCCAATGCAGACAGTCTTACATAGCCGGCCTGCGGCGCATAATCCACATAGTGAGTATCAAATACCAGAGGCGAAGCACTTAGCACTCCAACAAAGGCTACAATTCCGCGTGTTCAGGTGGCAATCCGGATGTACGATGTAGAGATGCGCATTCATTCATCCAAGTCTTCAGCAGCAGTACGAAATGTTGGGAGTTGCGGGAATAATTAGTGGTTCTGGGGGTATAGTCGGACTACGGCCATAAGCCATGTAGTCGTGAAAGCTCAACACCATATGGCCTCCCATTATTGCACCGTGTCGGAACTCTAACACTCGCTCACTCACTTCATCAGCTCTTTACAATTGCATATACATTGATAGCTAACACCAACATCAATATCAACATCAACATCAACACCAACATCAATAACAATTCTACTACAACTACTCCTTCACGTAACAATTCGATCACTTTTTCACTTACATCTTCCATTGATGGCCACTGCCAATTGCCTTTCGCCTTTGTCATCTCGTTGCCTTGCCTTGCTGTCTCATCAATACTTTCTTCAATTTCAACTTCAACTTCACCACCAATTTCAGCTGCAACTTCAATGTATGCACTAGAATATCCGTTCAAATCGATCCCACTAAATGGTATTAGTGTTGGTATTTCTATTGCCATTGCCATTGCTATTGCTATTGGTCAGTCTTCAACTCTAATGCCTTGCCTTGCCTTGCCTTACCTTGGCTACTAGTAGTCTGCGTGGTTGCTTGTCAAGTCCAGCCAATGTATTATTTGTTGTCGATGCATTGACAATTGGTGGAAGTGGAAGTATTGCAGTTACAGCTTCTTTTCACAACACATATATGTATGTGGATTCGTTAGCTAGCTCGCTCGTTCATTTAGTTGTAGTAGTTCACAATGAGACAGTGAGTATTATCCATAGAAATGCATATGAATGAATGAAGAAGCTGTAAAGAATCAATGAAAGAAAGAAAGAAATATTAATATGTGTTGAATTAGTTTTCATTGTTCATTGTCTTACCTTCTTTCACCTTTGCCATGAATAAGTTGCTTCAATGCTTCCTTCGCCTTCCTTCAAAATGGTGTTGTTGGTGTTGATGAAGAATTTCGATGAAGTATCTGTGGAAATATGGATAATTGTTAATTATTTTCATTTGCAATTGGAATTGAAGTTCAATGTTAAATGAAATTCAAATTTGATTAGAAGAATAAATGTGAGACCTACTTTTGATGTCACTCGAAATGAAAATGAAGAGCAAAAAAAAAAAAAAAAAAAAAAAAAAAAAAAAAAAAAGGTCCTCACCAGCAATTTTGTCTACCTGCCGGGCCTCTATTTATACCCTGAAAAATTTGCCGCCTGCGGCGCATTTCTTCTTCACACAAACCCGTCCCAATTTGGTCACTCTGCCGGGCCTCTACTTATACCCTGAAAAATTTGCCGCCTGCGGCGCATTTTTTCTTGACACTTACCCGTCCCAAGCCGGCCTACGGCGCAATTCCTCCAATGCAGACAGTCTTACATAGCCGGCCTGCGGCGCATAATCCACATAGTGAGTATCAAATACCAGAGGCGAAGCACTTAGCACTCCAACAAAGGCTACAATTCCGCGTGTTCAGGTGGCAATCCGGATGTACGATGTAGAGATGCGCATTCATTCATCCAAGTCTTCAGCAGCAGTACGAAATGTTGGGAGTTGCGGGAATAATTAGTGGTTCTGGGGGTATAGTCGGACTACGGCCATAAGCCATGTAGTCGTGAAAGCTCAACACCATATGGCCTCCCATTATTGCACCGTGTCGGAACTCTAACACTCGCTCACTCACTTCATCAGCTCTTTACAATTGCATATACATTGATAGCTAACACCAACATCAATATCAACATCAACATCAACACCAACATCAATAACAATTCTACTACAACTACTCCTTCACGTAACAATTCGATCACTTTTTCACTTACATCTTCCATTGATGGCCACTGCCAATTGCCTTTCGCCTTTGTCATCTCGTTGCCTTGCCTTGCTGTCTCATCAATACTTTCTTCAATTTCAACTTCAACTTCACCACCAATTTCAGCTGCAACTTCAATGTATGCACTAGAATATCCGTTCAAATCGATCCCACTAAATGGTATTAGTGTTGGTATTTCTATTGCCATTGCCATTGCTATTGCTATTGGTCAGTCTTCAACTCTAATGCCTTGCCTTGCCTTGCCTTACCTTGGCTACTAGTAGTCTGCGTGGTTGCTTGTCAAGTCCAGCCAATGTATTATTTGTTGTCGATGCATTGACAATTGTGGAAGTGGAAGTATTGCAGTTACAGCTTCTTTTCACAACACATATATGTATGTGGATTCGTTAGCTAGCTCGCTCGTTCATTTAGTTGTAGTAGTTCACAATGAGACAGTGAGTATTATCCATAGAAATGCATATGAATGAATGAAGAAGCTGTAAAGAATCAATGAAAGAAAGAAAGAAATATTAATATGTGTTGAATTAGTTTTCATTGTTCATTGTCTTACCTTCTTTCACCTTTGCCATGAATAAGTTGCTTCAATGCTTCCTTCGCCTTCCTTCAAAATGGTGTTGTTGGTGTTGATGAAGAATTTCGATGAAGTATCTGTGGAAATATGGATAATTGTTAATTATTTTCATTTGCAATTGGAATTGAAGTTCAATGTTAAATGAAATTCAAATTTGATTAGAAGAATAAATGTGAGACCTACTTTTGATGTCACTCGAAATGAAAATGAAGAGCAAAAAAAAAAAAAAAAAAAAAAAAAAAAAAAAAAAAAGGTCCTCACCAGCAATTTTGTCTACCTGCCGGGCCTCTATTTATACCCTGAAAAATTTGCCGCCTGCGGCGCATTTCTTCTTCACACAAACCCGTCCCAATTTGGTCACTCTGCCGGGCCTCTACTTATACCCTGAAAAATTTGCCGCCTGCGGCGCATTTTTTCTTGACACTTACCCGTCCCAAGCCGGCCTACGGCGCAATTCCTCCAATGCAGACAGTCTTACATAGCCGGCCTGCGGCGCATAATCCACATAGTGAGTATCAAATACCAGAGGCGAAGCACTTAGCACTCCAACAAAGGCTACAATTCCGCGTGTTCAGGTGGCAATCCGGATGTACGATGTAGAGATGCGCATTCATTCATCCAAGTCTTCAGCAGCAGTACGAAATGTTGGGAGTTGCGGGAATAATTAGTGGTTCTGGGGGTATAGTCGGACTACGGCCATAAGCCATGTAGTCGTGAAAGCTCAACACCATATGGCCTCCCATTATTGCACCGTGTCGGAACTCTAACACTCGCTCACTCACTTCATCAGCTCTTTACAATTGCATATACATTGATAGCTAACACCAACATCAATATCAACATCAACATCAACACCAACATCAATAACAATTCTACTACAACTACTCCTTCACGTAACAATTCGATCACTTTTTCACTTACATCTTCCATTGATGGCCACTGCCAATTGCCTTTCGCCTTTGTCATCTCGTTGCCTTGCCTTGCTGTCTCATCAATACTTTCTTCAATTTCAACTTCAACTTCACCACCAATTTCAGCTGCAACTTCAATGTATGCACTAGAATATCCGTTCAAATCGATCCCACTAAATGGTATTAGTGTTGGTATTTCTATTGCCATTGCCATTGCTATTGCTATTGGTCAGTCTTCAACTCTAATGCCTTGCCTTGCCTTGCCTTACCTTGGCTACTAGTAGTCTGCGTGGTTGCTTGTCAAGTCCAGCCAATGTATTATTTGTTGTCGATGCATTGACAATTGGTGGAAGTGGAAGTATTGCAGTTACAGCTTCTTTTCACAACACATATATGTATGTGGATTCGTTAGCTAGCTCGCTCGTTCATTTAGTTGTAGTAGTTCACAATGAGACAGTGAGTATTATCCATAGAAATGCATATGAATGAATGAAGAAGCTGTAAAGAATCAATGAAAGAAAGAAAGAAATATTAATATGTGTTGAATTAGTTTTCATTGTTCATTGTCTTACCTTCTTTCACCTTTGCCATGAATAAGTTGCTTCAATGCTTCCTTCGCCTTCCTTCAAAATGGTGTTGTTGGTGTTGATGAAGAATTTCGATGAAGTATCTGTGGAAATATGGATAATTGTTAATTATTTTCATTTGCAATTGGAATTGAAGTTCAATGTTAAATGAAATTCAAATTTGATTAGAAGAATAAATGTGAGACCTACTTTTGATGTCACTCGAAATGAAAATGAAGAGCAAAAAAAAAAAAAAAAAAAAAAAAAAAAAAAAAAAAAAGGTCCTCACCAGCAATTTTGTCTACCTGCCGGGCCTCTATTTATACCCTGAAAAATTTGCCGCCTGCGGCGCATTTCTTCTTCACACAAACCTCGTCCCAATTTGGTCACTCTGCCGGGCCTCTACTTATACCCTGAAAAATTTGCCGCCTGCGGCGCATTTTTTCTTGACACTTACCCGTCCCAAGCCGGCCTACGGCGCAATTCCTCCAATGCAGACAGTCTTACATAGCCGGCCTGCGGCGCATAATCCACATAGTGAGTATCAAATACCAGAGGCGAAGCACTTAGCACTCCAACAAAGGCTACAATTCCGCGTGTTCAGGTGGCAATCCGGATGTACGATGTAGAGATGCGCATTCATTCATCCAAGTCTTCAGCAGCAGTACGAAATGTTGGGAGTTGCGGGAATAATTAGTGGTTCTGGGGGTATAGTCGGACTACGGCCATAAGCCATGTAGTCGTGAAAGCTCAACACCATATGGCCTCCCATTATTGCACCGTGTCGGAACTCTAACACTCGCTCACTCACTTCATCAGCTCTTTACAATTGCATATACATTGATAGCTAACACCAACATCAATATCAACATCAACATCAACACCAACATCAATAACAATTCTACTACAACTACTCCTTCACGTAACAATTCGATCACTTTTTCACTTACATCTTCCATTGATGGCCACTGCCAATTGCCTTTCGCCTTTGTCATCTCGTTGCCTTGCCTTGCTGTCTCATCAATACTTTCTTCAATTTCAACTTCAACTTCACCACCAATTTCAGCTGCAACTTCAATGTATGCACTAGAATATCCGTTCAAATCGATCCCACTAAATGGTATTAGTGTTGGTATTTCTATTGCCATTGCCATTGCTATTGCTATTGGTCAGTCTTCAACTCTAATGCCTTGCCTTGCCTTGCCTTACCTTGGCTACTAGTAGTCTGCGTGGTTGCTTGTCAAGTCCAGCCAATGTATTATTTGTTGTCGATGCATTGACAATTGGTGGAAGTGGAAGTATTGCAGTTACAGCTTCTTTTCACAACACATATATGTATGTGGATTCGTTAGCTAGCTCGCTCGTTCATTTAGTTGTAGTAGTTCACAATGAGACAGTGAGTATTATCCATAGAAATGCATATGAATGAATGAAGAAGCTGTAAAGAATCAATGAAAGAAAGAAAGAAATATTAATATGTGTTGAATTAGTTTTCATTGTTCATTGTCTTACCTTCTTTCACCTTTGCCATGAATAAGTTGCTTCAATGCTTCCTTCGCCTTCCTTCAAAATGGTGTTGTTGGTGTTGATGAAGAATTTCGATGAAGTATCTGTGGAAATATGGATAATTGTTAATTATTTTCATTTGCAATTGGAATTGAAGTTCAATGTTAAATGAAATTCAAATTTGATTAGAAGAATAAATGTGAGACCTACTTTTGATGTCACTCGAAATGAAAATGAAGAGCAAAAAAAAAAAAAAAAAAAAAAAAAAAAAAAAAAAAGGTCCTCACCAGCAATTTTGTCTACCTGCCGGGCCTCTATTTATACCCTGAAAAATTTGCCGCCTGCGGCGCATTTCTTCTTCACACAAACCCGTCCCAATTTGGTCACTCTGCCGGGCCTCTACTTATACCCTGAAAAATTTGCCGCCTGCGGCGCATTTTTTCTTGACACTTACCCGTCCCAAGCCGGCCTACGGCGCAATTCCTCCAATGCAGACAGTCTTACATAGCCGGCCTGCGGCGCATAATCCACATAGTGAGTATCAAATACCAGAGGCGAAGCACTTAGCACTCCAACAAAGGCTACAATTCCGCGTGTTCAGGTGGCAATCCGGATGTACGATGTAGAGATGCGCATTCATTCGGCCAAGTCTTCAGCAGCAGTACGAAATGTTGGGAGTTGCGGGAATAATTAGTGGTTCTGGGGGTATAGTCGGACTACGGCCATAAGCCATGTAGTCGTGAAAGCTCAACACCATATGGCCTCCCATTATTGCACCGTGTCGGAACTATGCCATAGGTTGCTAGGGAGGTTAGTCCATTGGCGTGAGAATCATAGACTAGAGACGAAGCACTAACTACTCCAACAAAGGCCAACATTTCGCTTGGGGGTGGCAATCCAGGGGGATGATGGGAAGATGCGCATTTATTTGGGCTGGTTAGCGGCGCTTTGAATTGTAGAGCATTCAGGGAACAATCAGTGGTTCTGGTGATCTAGTCAGAACTACGGCCAATAGCCATGTAGTCGTGAAAACTCGAAACCATATGGCCTACCATAATTGCACTGAGTCGGAACTATGCCATCGAGTTGCTAGGGAGGTTAGTCCATTGGTGCGAGTATCATAGACTAGAAGCGAAGCACTAATTATTGGAAGAATGGGTACAATTTAGCGCGTTTATATGCCAATCAAAGTGTGCTACATGCGTCGGCTTTAATTAAAGACGATCGTCCATGTATTACTCGTCACTTTGCACTTTGGGCAATAGGGGATGGTTCGGAGAGTGGCAGAGGCACTGAGTCACATAGGATGGTTGTTTGGGAAATATGCAGGCTGGTGGATGCGGTGGTGTAGACGGTGAATTGTGGCTTCGGATACTTGAGGTTGATTGATGGTGATGGAGTTATTTATGTAGAGTCACTTCGGTATGGTAGCTAGGAGAAAATATAGGAGAGAAATGTAAGGATAGAAGATAATGGTAGAGAGAGGATGTATATGTAATAAATGTATGTTATATTGTATGAGGGAAGTTTATTTTGTACTTACTTTAGATGTGTGTAACCCAGGGCAATATGGCTGGTGGTATTTTAGGCGGTGGCTTTTTCTTGGAACACTGATGCTGGTTGTATTTATACAATCAGTTGACTCTCACATATGTTTATTAAAAAGGCGGGATATTTTGGTACACACAGTCTCTCTTTATATGATGTTTATTGTTTTCAAAATGGCGCGCACTTATTTTGGTTCTTGGACACAAGAGCTAGGAAATATATTTGCACGGAGTTTCTATTTATAAAGTTCACTCACACAAAAACACTAGTTTCTTGGATTAATTTATTAAAAATACAGCTTAGTTTGCTTTGGGAAGTTTTCTCTTTAATTCTTCTTTGGGGTATTCAAAATGGCGCGTAAACTATTTTGCTTTTGACACACAACACTGGCGCCATGAATTCGCATGAAGTTGTAGGACGTTGGTTAATTCCAGGAATGCAACACTTATTGGCACTGAAATTGCACTAGGAAAAACACTTTTCTTGAATAATTTTCACTTATTGGAATCTCGTTGTGATTTAATATGTATTTCGCGGATTTTTCTTGTGTTTTTGCAATATTTTTTCACTTTATTTACATAGAAATTCTTTGGCGTCTAGCTTTTCCAGGAACTGAACACAACACTGGGTGGTAAAACAATGAAAAAACACTTTTCTGCACATATAAACACTTTCACTTCACTTGATGCTTGCTTCTTATTTAATGGATTACAATTTTCGCGCGCTTATTGGGTGATTTTCACATTATTTTTGCCAATTAGAACGAGTGTTTACAAAACCGGGAGAAGAATTAGAAAATGCCGCCAAATTGGAGAATAGGGTACTGAAAATCGATTTTGAGCGATAAATATCGATACAAGAGCGGGTCGGAAATCGATAACTATCGATAGTTGACGGCGATAGTAACTTGACGCCGATAAATTTGACCGCGGTGAATTTCGGTTGACGGCGGTAAGAGTGGAAGGCGATGAAATTATTTTCGATGGACTTTGGGAAAAATGGAGAATGGCGGCAAAAGCGAAGGAGAAAACCGAGAAATAAAGGAAATATATTGCAAAGGAGCAGTACATAAGCAGAGGTATTTTTTGCAGTTTAAAGAATGAATCGCGGATGTTATTAACAATGGAAATCGTTTTTCAGCATAGAAATGACACGTAAAAATGTGATGATGTGAAATAAGAAGAAATACATATGGAATATTTGAATAAAGGACAATGGAAAGTATAAGCAGATCGATCAGTCATCTGGAAATTTTCCTCAGCAATATTCTCCTTTGATGCTGCTATGATCGGGAATATTTGTTGCACACGCGTGTAAACTACATACGAGCGGTAGTTGTGTGAACAAATTGTGGCCGTAAACAGAACTAAATCGCATTGATGTGACGATGTGATCCCTTTTAACGTTGCATTTTATTAACTACGCAGGTCGGCGTTTTATACACAGGAATGATGCCGAAAGAAGATTGCTGTAAAATATGGTGCAATTCAGCAATGAATAGATGAACGGAAGACGGAGAAAGGCGCGAAATGGATAAGGAAAATTGTAGCAGATTCATCTATTTCGCAATATTCTGGAAGGAGCTTTAGAATTGTTGCATTTTTAAATGTATGATAAAAGACCGATGTTTAGAATAGTTTACAATGAGATGCGGTTGTGCATAAAATGCTTTGTGTAATAGAATTCATTTTTAAAAATAATATGTATCGTTTTTCAATTTATGAATGGCATAAGAATATGGTTGTTTTTGGGAAATACGCAATAAGATGTTTTCTTACACATCCAACTTATTATATGCAATGTGGAAGATAGAAGTTATAATTAATACTTGTGGGCTATCCTATATCCAAATTATTGCATGTAAAGTGAAATGTAGGAGACACAATCAAGACGTGTGATCTATGCTTGTTATTTTTCTTATCGATAAGTCATTCATCGGAAAAAGTTCTGCATTGGTATATTTATATTAAGTGACATGCATTACAAAATAAGTTTGGATTTGATTGGGTAAAAAAGAGTTGGCTGTTGGACAAATTATGTATTAAAATTCGAAGGAAGAAGTGGAGTAGAAGCTGCAGCACACAAGACGTCGTAAGATCTTTGTAGCCATGGCTATGCTTGCTCGCTTGAGCTCTGGAGCTGTTAGTACTCCTTCATCTCCTCAAAAAGCTGCTCTACAACGTTTTCAGAAATGCATTGGTTCCTTTTTGTGGCCAGCAATGGCAGGTGGAGGAGTGCAGCGCAAATCCACACAGATTGATGCTATCGACAGTTTCACGAATGAATTAGTAGAACGCAAAAGTAAGAAATGGCAAGAGCTAAGAGGCAATATGATGTCTGGTGTTGAAGCACTTTGTAAAGATGTTCAAAAGGTAAAAGTTGTGGCAGACGACGACTACGGCAATAGTACAGCGGGTGGCACAAGCAGGAATTTTTCGAAAAATTTTGGTTTAATGTCGAAAGGTGTCATTAGTGATTTACAAGCCCTTCGTTCTCCTGAATTGGGACTTGACATACGGTCATTGTCTCAGGCGCAGTTGGATAATTTGCTCAGCTCCACGTTGGAAATAAAAAACAAAGTGGATTTCTTGTACTTGGTGCGGCAATGCATACGATGGCAGCAACTGCCTTCAAATGAAGTACTAGTCTCATGCCTTAAATACCTTAGCAGTTTGTCCAGAGTGCAACATATTGAATCGATAGCGGAGATTTGCCAAGAACAAAATCACGTTTTGACAAAAATGTACTGCGACTTGGCACCGTTTAAGGCTATGGCATTGTGGAGGAGTGATAGCGCGGACTTGGCTTTAAAAACTCTATCTCAGGGATACGAAAGTGGGTCTAATGAGGGGAAACGGATGATAAGAGCTGCTTTTCGAACTATTGCCGAAGAGACATTAGCTAAGAAGAGCGAGGCTGTGCTGGTACATCTGATGGAAATTGCACGGAGTATTTATGAAAAACATCAGGACATCTTTGTCATAGCTTGTGTGTGGAAGCAATGTTTCGTGTGTGATTGGTTTTGTGATCAAAAATCGGCCTGATTTTCGGCGTGTTTAGGTGGCAATCCGGATGTACGATGTAGAGATGCGCATTCATTCGGCCAAGTCTTCAGCAGCAGTACGAAATGTTGGGAGTTGCGGGAATAATTAGTGGTTCTGGGGGTATAGTCGGACTACGGCCATAAGCCATGTAGTCGTGAAAGCTCAACACCATATGGCCTCCCATTATTGCACCGTGTCGGAACTATGCCATAGGTTGCTAGGGAGGTTAGTCCATTGGCGTGAGAATCATAGACTAGAGACGAAGCACTAACTACTCCAACAAAGGCCAACATTTCGCTTGGGGGTGGCAATCCAGGGGGATGATGGGAAGATGCGCATTTATTTGGGCTGGTTAGCGGCGCTTTGAATTGTAGAGCATTCAGGGAACAATCAGTGGTTCTGGTGATCTAGTCAGAACTACGGCCAATAGCCATGTAGTCGTGAAAACTCGAAACCATATGGCCTACCATAATTGCACTGAGTCGGAACTATGCCATCGAGTTGCTAGGGAGGTTAGTCCATTGGTGCGAGTATCATAGACTAGAAGCGAAGCACTAATTATTGGAAGAATGGGTACAATTTAGCGCGTTTATATGCCAATCAAAGTGTGCTACATGCGTCGGCTTTAATTAAAGACGATCGTCCATGTATTACTCGTCACTTTGCACTTTGGGCAATAGGGGATGGTTCGGAGAGTGGCAGAGGCACTGAGTCACATAGGATGGTTGTTTGGGAAATATGCAGGCTGGTGGATGCGGTGGTGTAGACGGTGAATTGTGGCTTCGGATACTTGAGGTTGATTGATGGTGATGGAGTTATTTATGTAGAGTCACTTCGGTATGGTAGCTAGGAGAAAATATAGGAGAGAAATGTAAGGATAGAAGATAATGGTAGAGAGAGGATGTATATGTAATAAATGTATGTTATATTGTATGAGGGAAGTTTATTTTGTACTTACTTTAGATGTGTGTAACCCAGGGCAATATGGCTGGTGGTATTTTAGGCGGTGGCTTTTTCTTGGAACACTGATGCTGGTTGTATTTATACAATCAGTTGACTCTCACATATGTTTATTAAAAAGGCGGGATATTTTGGTACACACAGTCTCTCTTTATATGATGTTTATTGTTTTCAAAATGGCGCGCACTTATTTTGGTTCTTGGACACAAGAGCTAGGAAATATATTTGCACGGAGTTTCTATTTATAAAGTTCACTCACACAAAAACACTAGTTTCTTGGATTAATTTATTAAAAATACAGCTTAGTTTGCTTTGGGAAGTTTTCTCTTTAATTCTTCTTTGGGGTATTCAAAATGGCGCGTAAACTATTTTGCTTTTGACACACAACACTGGCGCCATGAATTCGCATGAAGTTGTAGGACGTTGGTTAATTCCAGGAATGCAACACTTATTGGCACTGAAATTGCACTAGGAAAAACACTTTTCTTGAATAATTTTCACTTATTGGAATCTCGTTGTGATTTAATATGTATTTCGCGGATTTTTCTTGTGTTTTTGCAATATTTTTTCACTTTATTTACATAGAAATTCTTTGGCGTCTAGCTTTTCCAGGAACTGAACACAACACTGGGTGGTAAAACAATGAAAAAACACTTTTCTGCACATATAAACACTTTCACTTCACTTGATGCTTGCTTCTTATTTAATGGATTACAATTTTCGCGCGCTTATTGGGTGATTTTCACATTATTTTTGCCAATTAGAACGAGTGTTTACAAAACCGGGAGAAGAATTAGAAAATGCCGCCAAATTGGAGAATAGGGTACTGAAAATCGATTTTGAGCGATAAATATCGATACAAGAGCGGGTCGGAAATCGATAACTATCGATAGTTGACGGCGATAGTAACTTGACGCCGATAAATTTGACCGCGGTGAATTTCGGTTGACGGCGGTAAGAGTGGAAGGCGATGAAATTATTTTCGATGGACTTTGGGAAAAATGGAGAATGGCGGCAAAAGCGAAGGAGAAAACCGAGAAATAAAGGAAATATATTGCAAAGGAGCAGTACATAAGCAGAGGTATTTTTTGCAGTTTAAAGAATGAATCGCGGATGTTATTAACAATGGAAATCGTTTTTCAGCATAGAAATGACACGTAAAAATGTGATGATGTGAAATAAGAAGAAATACATATGGAATATTTGAATAAAGGACAATGGAAAGTATAAGCAGATCGATCAGTCATCTGGAAATTTTCCTCAGCAATATTCTCCTTTGATGCTGCTATGATCGGGAATATTTGTTGCACACGCGTGTAAACTACATACGAGCGGTAGTTGTGTGAACAAATTGTGGCCGTAAACAGAACTAAATCGCATTGATGTGACGATGTGATCCCTTTTAACGTTGCATTTTATTAACTACGCAGGTCGGCGTTTTATACACAGGAATGATGCCGAAAGAAGATTGCTGTAAAATATGGTGCAATTCAGCAATGAATAGATGAACGGAAGACGGAGAAAGGCGCGAAATGGATAAGGAAAATTGTAGCAGATTCATCTATTTCGCAATATTCTGGAAGGAGCTTTAGAATTGTTGCATTTTTAAATGTATGATAAAAAGACCGATGTTTAGAATAGTTTACAATGAGATGCGGTTGTGCATAAAATGCTTTGTGTAATAGAATTCATTTTTAAAAATAATATGTATCGTTTTTCAATTTATGAATGGCATAAGAATATGGTTGTTTTTGGGAAATACGCAATAAGATGTTTTCTTACACATCCAACTTATTATATGCAATGTGGAAGATAGAAGTTATAATTAATACTTGTGGGCTATCCTATATCCAAATTATTGCATGTAAAGTGAAATGTAGGAGACACAATCAAGACGTGTGATCTATGCTTGTTATTTTTCTTATCGATAAGTCATTCATCGGAAAAAGTTCTGCATTGGTATATTTATATTAAGTGACATGCATTACAAAATAAGTTTGGATTTGATTGGGTAAAAAAGAGTTGGCTGTTGGACAAATTATGTATTAAAATTCGAAGGAAGAAGTGGAGTAGAAGCTGCAGCACACAAGACGTCGTAAGATCTTTGTAGCCATGGCTATGCTTGCTCGCTTGAGCTCTGGAGCTGTTAGTACTCCTTCATCTCCTCAAAAAGCTGCTCTACAACGTTTTCAGAAATGCATTGGTTCCTTTTTGTGGCCAGCAATGGCAGGTGGAGGAGTGCAGCGCAAATCCACACAGATTGATGCTATCGACAGTTTCACGAATGAATTAGTAGAACGCAAAAGTAAGAAATGGCAAGAGCTAAGAGGCAATATGATGTCTGGTGTTGAAGCACTTTGTAAAGATGTTCAAAAGGTAAAAGTTGTGGCAGACGACGACTACGGCAATAGTACAGCGGGTGGCACAAGCAGGAATTTTTCGAAAAATTTTGGTTTAATGTCGAAAGGTGTCATTAGTGATTTACAAGCCCTTCGTTCTCCTGAATTGGGACTTGACATACGGTCATTGTCTCAGGCGCAGTTGGATAATTTGCTCAGCTCCACGTTGGAAATAAAAAACAAAGTGGATTTCTTGTACTTGGTGCGGCAATGCATACGATGGCAGCAACTGCCTTCAAATGAAGTACTAGTCTCATGCCTTAAATACCTTAGCAGTTTGTCCAGAGTGCAACATATTGAATCGATAGCGGAGATTTGCCAAGAACAAAATCACGTTTTGACAAAAATGTACTGCGACTTGGCACCGTTTAAGGCTATGGCATTGTGGAGGAGTGATAGCGCGGACTTGGCTTTAAAAACTCTATCTCAGGGATACGAAAGTGGGTCTAATGAGGGGAAACGGATGATAAGAGCTGCTTTTCGAACTATTGCCGAAGAGACATTAGCTAAGAAGAGTGAGGCTGTGCTGGTACATCTGATGGAAATTGCACGGAGTATTTATGAAAAACATCAGGACATCTTTGTCATAGCTTGTGTGTGGAAGCAATGTTTCGTGAGTGATTGGTTTTGTGATCAAAAATCGGCCGGAGATTTATTTTTGCATTATGAAGAACTACAGCAGATGGTAGCTAAAAGGTAAGAATTAGATGAGGGACATTAGAGAGTAGCGGATATTGCTTGATATGTGTATAGATTTGAATGTTAGCAATCTTATATTTTAGATCGGTTTCATTGTGTGGATCTTTTCTGAGCCGTAACAATGTGGATGCTGTCCATCGTTTGATCGAGGTATATCTTCAATATAATGAAAGGGAAGCATGTTCCATCTGTCTTAGTTTACTCTTTAACTACCAATGTAAGTATGGATAGATTTTGGGAAGTTGTTGATTTTTTATGCGTATATGATATTGCAGATAACAGAAGGGATTTGCGTGCATGTGCGGAAATAATTAAGTCATGTAGTGAATTGGATATGCCACTTTCGGAAATTCAAAATGAGCAGTTCCTTGGCTTATTTATAAACCAAAATGAGAGCGACAAGGCAAGAGCACCGTTGCGTAGAGATACTACTAAGGGATTGAAGCAGTTCCAGTACAAGTTTTGAGATGATATAGGAAATATGTTTGGCACATGAGTAGGTATTTAGATGACACCAGAAGCAATATGTTTTACTATAAGTTGTTTGATCTAAATGTGATCATTAGATATACTAATAATTATTAAAAGTGTTTTGAATTATGTCGATAATATTTTGTGTTTAATTTAGAGGATGTGTAATGTTGGGAAGTCAGTTTTGTAACAATGATGATGTAATTTAGTAATGGTTGGTATAATATTGTGCGGTGAAATGGATGAGTAATACAGAATTATGTACAAGCACAAGTATAGTATTGGGGCAATTACTCGAGGTGGTTAAGGGTAATAATAATAAATGTTTTTCAGGAGATGTGTAGTTTGATTGATATGTGAAGTACCTAACTTTTAATAAAAAAGTTTTATAAAATCAATGACATATGTTTCAATGAACATAAAGCGTGGTGTTAGTAAATTTATTTATATTGATTTTTGTTTTAAACATTAAGAAAATATATATTGTATTTAATCTTGGGAGGCGTCAAAGTCGGCGGTAAGTGATTCTTCGACTTTACTTGTGTCGAGATCAGAATGCTGCAGTTCGTACCCGGAACATTTTTCACACCTCGATATTAAGTGACGCATACAATAGGGTACGAGGCACTGCTGACATCTAGTCTTTATTTTGGAACCATTGCGAGACTTGCAACCTCGACATCTCCTTCTATTATCATTTTCTCTCGACTGTAGTACAATTCCCTCAGGAATCATTGCTTTCTCAGGTGGTATCGAACCAACTTTGTTTGTTGCGTCAGTAGCCCTAGAGGCACTGGCCAGGACAGCTTGCACGTTTTCTCCGAGGATTTCGGTAATTTGTAACTTTAACGGGAGCGGCATTTTTAAGTTCATATGTATGCGTTGTTTTAACTGCTGTTGAGTCAAGTATAGTCCCAATTGTCTTAGAAAATCCCTATGTTCAATTTCTGGATCGCCGTTTTGCGATAGGCGATACAGGATCCATGCATTAAAGGCTGTGAGATCTAGCATGAAGTAAAAAAATTCCATTGGCCATGAATACATGTTTTTTGCTTGGACATATCTTGTTGAATAGCGCTTCATTTGTTCGTAGGCTTTTGTGTTGGAATCTTTTACTACTTGGTACAACTTTTTTCCATCAATGCGTGCCGAAAGTCCATTTGTCACGAGACATCCGGTCTGTGTTATACTTTTATCCAAACCACATACTAAAGTATCATCGTGTTTTGAATACCAAGTCTCTTCGTCAGAGGGATCGTTGCATAACTCGGAAGGAATATCTTCTGCAGTTTTGTCCATGGAAGCAACAACTTGAAGCTGATTTTGTTTTAGTTTCTGCATTAACTCCAGAGAGCTGAAACGTTCGCGTAGGCACAAGCATCTTCTTGAGCCTTTAATATCGCTAATTAGTTGATAAACTTCCTCATCTAAAGGATCGCTATTGATTGCTACAATGGCGTTGGAAATATATAATGTCTTAGCATCGCACATTGTAATGAAGCGAAGTCCTTTCCTGTTGGTTTGAGGAGGGATGTGATGGTCGAAGGGACTTTGAGGGTCTTTAGTTAGATCTAGAATATGTTCATCGATCATGCAAAAATCGCTAGGTGCGTAGTACGATCGGCAATTGATGACCAATTTCTCCCACATATCGCCAATTGCATCGAGCGGGTGAGTCAAATCTTCAGGGCGGTCTACACAGCGTAAACATTTGCTGAGGTATTCAAAACGCTTGTATGTCATGGTTGCCCTGAAAATCGCATTTCCAAGCTCTAGTGTCCACAGTTCTTCAATGGGGCCAGGACATAATGTATTTCTAAGGACGCCACACAAGTAGTTCAGTCCTAACCATGCTCGCATTTCTGTCATATCAGTTAAACGTTTCTGGTACTGCTCCTTTCGTTTGGTGGATTTTATTTCCTCGTTTGTGCTTTTTACCATTTGACTTAGCATAGGAACGTCGAAGAGGAGATGCCAAACTTCGAGAAGATTTGCAGCACTTTTGGCCGGTCCTATGCAGTAGAATTGAATGGTCAATAAAATCGGCGTATAAGTTTGGAATAGTTACCTTTCCCAGTCGGAAAACATTCTGGCAAGTCATCAGCTATTGTTGCCATTGGCGCAATCTGAGAATGAGAAATTCTGGTGAGATATATATTCAATGGGGTGAAACTCACATTTTACCTTACTCCATACTTGTCCATTTAATGATCTCAATTCTGATTTTGCAATTTTTTTCTTACTTGGGCCTACGATATCGTCTTTCTCGGCTTTATAGGGCTTAATAAATTGTGTTTCGTCACATTGCCATTTAAACTTTTTTCTTTCGACTTCATCGTCTCCTTCATATAAAGGGTCATAATTTAAACTTGTTTCATGTTCATTAAATCGGCCTAGAACTTCTATAAATGTTTCACCATCATCATCGGACTCGTTCTGAGTCTTAATATTTGCTAAGACGGAATCGTCAATGCTCATTTCATTTGCAAGTTGCAAAGATGTAATTGAAGAAATGTGGGAATTTACAAGAAGGAATTGAGCGGTATTTATAGATATATAATCTAGTTCATTTTAGTTGATAAACAAACCAAGAAAATTTGTTAGAATTTCTTCTTCTTTTAAAAAAGTTGCAAATCAATACGAAATGATACCTCGTACTTATGGTACCATGCCACAGAGTATATGATTAAGGTGCGAAAAATACATATGGGAAATAAAGTATGTTGAATCAACTTCGTGGTTATTGATTACACTGGACTTTTACCGCATTCTAATTTTTTGCTTTCTATCAGAAGGTCCCGTTTTACGTCTTTCATTAGTAAGATAAAGTATGCATAGGGAACGTGTTTATGATTTTTATAATAGATACCTCTTATACTCAATTACAGCTTATGCAGCAGAAACAACACATAGTATCATAAATCATATTTTCTGTTTAAATATTGTAACAAATTTTCTTATTCGATTATGATTTACATGATAACTATTGGAATTAAACACTTGCCCATATTTAAAGGCTCATCCGCGTCAAGGCCGATGTAAGGTTGGGCAACAAAGCTTCTTTTTACGGTAATTGAATAACAATACACTAATGTTATTTGAATATATATGAATGTCAAATAACAACAAGATATTTTGTGGCAAAATGAATAGGCAGATGAGCATTCTGGTCAATCCTCCACAGACCCTAAACGAAATTAAAAACGTTGCCATTGTGATTAATTTTTTCAAGCTGTTAAACTTGCTGCTTACGTTTATGTCAAAATACAATGAGCTTTGACAGCTAGATTAATGTCAGATGGTACCTTTCATGACTATATATATACCTTGTGTATATTTACGTTGTAACGTCAGCATTACTTTTGCAAACGCTTTGACGGAGGATTTTTTGAAACACAACGGCGTCAAATAGCTAAGGCCTCCACACACTGTACGTCACAGGTTATTGACCCGGTTGTTGAAAACATTGTTAGTGCTTGTATTACTAAATATTTGGTCTATTTACGATTATTGACTATAATGTTCAATGGAGTACTTGCAGTTTCAATTATTTTAGAAATGGCCAATGCGCTTTATACTTTTTTTCGTCGAAGCATGAAATCTAGCTGTGGAATTTATATACCAAAATATGAAATTCTATCTAATTTGCACTTCAATTCGTGCATAAATAATTGTGAAAACCGGAAAGTACCTTGAACTTTTTAAGGCAATGACATTTCGGAACTATGTTTTCACCACATACCAACTCAAATAGTTCCATTTTTTCCAACGACTGGGCATTTTATTTTAACATCAAAACATGTTTGAATTTTTTCCAAGTATGACAATATTTTTTGTGGTTTGATTGTCGAAATCAAATATAAGTAACCAATTGTTATAGCTTGGTCGGCTTATTGTATTTCAAAATTTTTGCCCTAATGTGCTAGGTGACAATAATACTCAATTGATGTTCCCCTACCCTTGAAAGACTCGGAAAAAAAGTTAAAGTTTTATATTTTTTTTTAACTTTTCACAAGTATATTTGTTTTCATCATTTATGTTTTAGGCATCATCATTAACTGGATGTGATTAGTACATGATTTTAATTGTCTTTTTAATATAGTTTTCATTGATCCTCCATTGGTAAGACTATTAGTTATACAATATTCAAAGCAATTTTTCGAAGAAAGCTGCCAAAATTACGAAAACTAGTAAACAGAATATGAGAAAAGTAAAAGCATGCTGTATATGTGAAAAATGAAAAAATGTCAAAACATTTCGATAATTAAGTTTTTTATCTTTTTTATTAAAGTATAAAATTTAGTTTATTTTATGAAATTCCTTTATTTGTTGCCTTTGTTGTGTTTGCGGCAAACACAACTTAGACGGCGATTAAATATACTAATTGATGATTTTTATTTTGCATTTAAAGTTTTGAGAAATATTTTAAATTTCTTTTAGCGAAGATGGTATTTTTTAAAAATCGGCTTTGCTATTTGTTTGTAGCGAGTAAACAAATTAGATGTACATTTATCTTCCTGTTTCGGTATAAAACTACGGTTATAGAACAGATACATATATATGTAATAATCATAGTATAAAATATGTTATCGTGTTTAAGAATTATACTTCACATTGTTTTTTTCAGTATTTGCTTTTCTCATTTTAAATGCAAAAGAAATTTGCAGCAACTAGAATTATACAAGTCCTTATTTATTCTTATTTTTTATCAAAAAATTTATTTCTTGTTTGTTGTAGCTGTTGGTTGGTACGTATTTTCTTAAAAACAAAAATAAAATGAACTCACTACACACAAAATACACGCTCTACTTGTCAAGAGCTGTATTAGTCTTAATGGCAATAACGCATTCTTCGCCGCAAGACTTAAGGACAGTACACTGCAATAAAATACAATAAGCTTTAGTTAAACAAAACTTTGTGAATGTACTCGTTACTTACCAAAAGATCTTTGCCATTATCGAAGTCGGTTCTCAAGGAATTACCCAAGTCACCTTCTGGCAATTTAAGATCTTCTCTGATTTCACCGTTGTCAGACATCAAAGTCAAGTATCCGTCATCACTGATATCGGTCAATTGATAATCTTCTCTCTTAACATGAGGGACATCCATATTGTGAGTGGATGGACAGATATCTTCATACCTAAAAAGACAACATAGTTGAAAAATTGCGTGATTTTTGCAATAATATACAGCTTTGTGTTTATGAAAGCTTAATTTAGTGTAATATTTACTCACTTCTTATTTGTGAAGATATCAATTCCGACCAAATGGACTTTAGCATGACCGTGTTTGCCTGTTTTGGATGTAGACATTTCAACGATTTTACAGGGTCTACCCTTGAGCATTACAAAACCGTTTTTACGCAATGCGGAACATTGCATAGGGAAAGTCTGAGAAGCACCAGAATCTCCGGTTTCGAAGTGATGATCATCCATTTCAGCCATTTTAACAAAGTTCAAGTTTAGACCCTGGTTTCAAAAAGGAATAATCTAAAAAAATCAAATAATGTTAGTCAATGTAAACAAATTAATATAGCCACGCCTCAAACTAACTATCAGAGACGTCGGCGGATTTGTTATAGCTGACAAATTTGGAAATATCCTAGGGAGACATTTTATATCCGCAATACAAATAATTAAATCTTTCGACTTATACAAACAAACTGCACGACACTTAAGAAAAGGAATTTATACACACGCTTCTTCATAGCTCTTTTATTGGACTATACGTTGATACCTCATCGTGTATATGTAGTACTAACCCCTCTACACACTCACTAAAACTTTCAACACACATACATATGTAGCAGTCATACAGATACAGACGTTTAACTTTCGCGACAAAAAATCAAACACCCAACATCATAACCTCTATCTTTACGAAAAAGAATTGATCGGTGATTATTGTCTAAAATTTGTTTTTTAATGTTGCCAATTTTTCAATTTTTGTTCTTCTGATTTAAAACAGTACCGGCGACTTGGTTGTATTCATTATTTCTTCGGCTCCGCTGTTAGTGCATTCCGATTGGTACAATGTGGCAAAAATTTTCACACGTCGACGAAGAACAAAAGTTTTCTATCGCATAAATCTAATCTTTTGTTCACCATGCCTTATAAAATATATTGATATCTTTTAAAGATGTTCTTCACTTATAGTCAATACTCCCAAGGAACAAAACGGGTAGAAAATTGGCGTACACAAAAGCCGAACATGAAAAAACTGAATCATTGCATGTACGCAAAAACGTCGCCCAAAAATGCGGCAGCAAAATAATTTTCTCGCGTGGTTTTACTTCCACTCAACACATTTTGCATTGCAACTCATTTATTTTTATTTCTCGCCATCAATTTATGCATTTTTTACTGACACAATATTCCGCACACCTTTTTCCAGAGTTTTAATAAGAAAAATTCTTTTAAATACTCACATGTGATTTTAACCTTGTCGTAACCAAAAAGAGGCGAAACAAAAAGACCCTGTAAAAAAATATATCCGCTTAAACATGAAACGATAGGAACTTGACAAGCATTTCATTCAAGCATGTGCTTGTGCCTATATCAGAGTTGCATTACTGGCAGATATATTGTTTACATCAAATACCATCGACATTTAACTTTATCAAGGTTTATATTGTTATAGCTGTTTTTAACAAAATTCGATGTACAGTGAAAACTTACACAGAAATTTACAATTTTTATAAGAATTCTCCGAAGATATGTTAGTAATTGTCCATTTATATTAAATTGAGCAACATATTTTCTCAGAGCTAATTGGTTTGTCCAAACTTTTCATAAGCGTTAAAAATTCATTTAGAGTATATATTTTTTAATCGATTTAGACATTGAAAATTGTTTCTAGCAATTTCTGTTCTTTTTCACATTTAAATTAATTTATATATATGGCAAAGCAGAATCATGGTAGAATCATGGGGGTAAAGTAATGCATTCTCACGCTCACAATTTTTTTCAAAATAATTCATTTGACACCATCTAATTGTCAAAATATATATTTATACATCCATTTTAAATACACAAATCAGAAATGGGAACCTATTTTTATGCAGTGAAATTTAACAAGATAAATTACAGAAAATGTAGAGAAGGGTATCAATATTTAAAATCACTTTAACTTTTTAATTTTGCCATCTGCAGAATTAAGAAAGAAAACTTATTACATAAAGTAAAATTTAAAATGCGGTTACCATTAATAATTTATAACATGGGTATATATAAAAGATGTTAACATTCTCAAAATTCATAATAACTTGTTTTCATATTTTGGCCTAAAATATTAAGTGATGTTTTGTTACTCTGCGTTTATAAAATACAGCACAATATAGTTCATGTATTAGTTGTAAAAATGATAAAATTTGTCTGTGCTACGTAGACGTCCCGAGAACTGCAAAAAGAGTTGCAATATATTCAATGAAAGGTTTAATGTGTGGCTACATAAACAGCTTAGCATCATGGCTAGGTACATTAATGTCAAATTATAAGGAAAAACGACGATAGATTCGAGTGCGGCTCTGGCATCCCCTTATGATATGACACAAAATATGTCAAGCGAAGAATTCAAGCTGCTTATGTACCCATATCTTTATATTTTTGTATATTTTTCTATCTCTTATTGCTTTGTTTTTTTTTCGGAACAGAGAAATTATTACAAAACTTGGCTTGATTAAAAATTAAATGTCGTCCAAAAATCAATAATCCTAAAATCGATTGCAAAGAAGTCGACTTTGAGATTTTCACCGCAGACAAAACTGGCATCGATTTTTAGGCTTTTCAACACAGTAAGTCGATTAATACAAAGTCGATTTACGTATCCCTAACTCATAGCTCAAAGGTGATGTCTGACGGGAACATGCATTTGCAGTAGGAATAGGTATTCGCCGTGTCCAAGAATTAATCGGGGTTTCCATTACACTAGCTAAACGAAAATATTATACGAGAGACAAACCATAAATCTGATAATACATTCAATAATATCGGAAGATGTTTGGTTTTCCGGCTAATCTCCCATCGATTATTGACATATTCTGGATAACTACTTCGTTTTTTATACTTTTTTTAATACTTTTATCGGCAATCAACAAGTCGATTGGAGTTCGAAGATCTTATGTTAAGTTACTGCTCAGGATATTTGAGGTAAGTGATAAACAGTAGAGATAGTGTCAAAAGAATGATTATGCTTTTACCTTCCTATTATCAATAGTATGGACGTGTCAGCATTGAGATAGCTCATAAAGAACGTCATGCAACGATAGCGGAAACAAAAACGGCATATACGGATGTCAATGCCACCAAGGATATTAACAAATCTAGTCCGATTGACACAACGAATGAAAAATCCAGCGACGTTAATGCCACAAATGGAAATACGCTTATTAATCGCGACAATGTCTTATTGCCCACTCCTAACGAACCAAATTTCAATAAGGAAAAATTGACAGAGACTATAAAAGATGTGAGTAAAATCGATATAAAATAAATTAATATTAACTTGAGATTTAAAAGAAAAGTGCAAGGTAAACAGGCCAAATGAAGATATTTTAAAAATGTTGAAATATATGCATTTAAAGGTGTAAGTTTACTTCCAAAAACATTACATACATATTCCTGCATACACTTCAGTGCAGTTAGAATTGTGTTTTTTTAATATGTTTAATATAAAACAATGTAAAAATGTTTGTAATATTAAAACTATTTAAAGTTGACAAACATTTCTTTCTAAATGTACATTATAATATTAATGTTATTGCAGAGGCGAAATTTCCGTCTATAAAGAAGTCTTTACGGAAGGCGATTCGGAACAAATAACTAATTAAATGTTTTGTAGTTGTTGTCCCATTTTTAAAGAAAACAGAAATGGCAACAATAAATGCCGCTATCATTTACTGATAAACATATAAAATCCGTATATTGTTTTAGCCAAAAAGAAATCGTTTACTGGTTGTGACTGTTATTTCACTACTTTGAACATTTCGATATTTATAACACTGATCAATGGTCACACAAATAATTATGTATTTTATCAGATCCAAAAACAAAGTGAATGCTAGAAACTCGTTATAAATACGTTATCATCGGCTTGCCCAATAGAATGTATAATATTGCGATCAATAACTAAATTGCACAACTACAAGAAATAACGTTATGCCAAAATATAGATTCCATAAATAAGTTTTTTTTAATCACATGCCAACGTTCAAATCATTACAGTGAAAGACTCGACAAGAAATCTATAATTTCGAAAAATCAAACTTGATAGAATACTTATACAATTTCCATTACCTTAACGGCAAAGTCGACTAGAAGTATGCATTGTTGTTTGATATGCAGACACGTGTGCATAAGTCTACGTTGCACCAATACAAAATAACCAGTCATATCGCCAAGAACTTCTCGAAATTTGGTCCTGGAATAATTCGTAACAGTAGAACATAAGCATAACCAAGTCATAAATAATGGGCACCGACGTAGTCGTGTGCACTAATTTTACAATAGAGTCAAATCACTTTGTTCTTGTCGCTACCTTATAGAAAGTGTACAATGCTCAGTTAAAGTCTCTAATTTACAATGAAATTCTGTTTCGAATGCACTACAATATCAACCTTTAAAGTAATGGCAAAGTCAGGAAAAATTATGTTTTCGGTTCAATTATTTCCCAATATATTTTTTAGTGGTAAATAAAATACTTATATTCTGGTCATAAGCCAGATTTATATAAGGCAATTATGCGTTATATAAATCTATATAGAAAGTTCTACCGATTGGGTGGTCGATTCATTTAATACGCCGAAGATATGTACTTATTAAGCAATGGAAAAATCTAGAAAAACTATGTTTTTGGTCCAGTTATTTCCCAATATATTCTTTAGTTGTAATTAAAAGGCTTATATTCTGGTCCTAAGGTAGATTTATATAACACAGTACCCATACAATTTCCAATGCGTTAGCGACAATTTCGACCAGAAGTATGCATTGTTTTGATTGATTTTTAGACATAGATTTTCCAACATTAATTTGACTTCGTGTGCTAAAATGTATTTTATTTGGAAATATATTACGAATTTTGTGCACAATGAACATGAAATCTGATTAACCTATTTATGGGGTTTATTATCTTGTTCTGAAACGATTAACATCGACATTTTTTCTTGATCGTAATACAAATGTGACTAGTATTTGATTCAAAAATGAAAGTATAGGGTAAGTGTACCAGTAGTTGGCACTTTTAGGATTTTCGCGTTTTCAGTCGTTCGTCATTCTGAGTGTAACTTTTCAATTATTACAAAGTTAATTTATTCAGATTCCCAATTTCGTATAGTTTTTGCAACAGAAAACTTTTTTAATAACTTTTTATTACATTTTATAAATTTGGAGTTTTATTAAAATAATGTTTTTTTTGCTGTAGTCGGCACCACTTGCCAATTGTCGGTATGACATGTTCCAACAGTCGGCATACCGATTTATTTGTAAGGATAATTAATAATAATGAAAAATAAATTTATTAAAATAATATATTTTTGTTTAGTTAAACTGATTCGACGTCCTGTATTTTTCTTAAGAATAAGGATTGTCACATTCATGTTGTTTACATTTAGTTATAAATGTTTCATTTATTTGAGCTTAAAAATAAAAAGTGCGGACTAATGGGATATGCTAAACTTATGCACACTTTCCCTATTTACAACAAAATACAAATAAATTCACACACAAGTGACTGTTTGATGATGAAGCGATTTTATTGGTAGCGATCAGTATAAATATCGAAAACTTTCAGTTTCATTTTGAAAAACATTACTCTGTAATATAGAGTAATATACAGTAAAGTCAATGGGGAATACCACAGACTTAAGTAACTATATTGTTTTTTTCAAAAAACCGGTATGACGGCTTTAGGATTTTGTAAAGCCAACAGGGAAGAGATAAGAAAACAAATTTCATAATTTCACCAATAGAACAAAATCAAAAGAGAAAAACCTTTAATTTGAACCTATAGAAAATTTAAGAAGCTTGAACAATTTAGTAACACATTTGGGAGATTCATGTACAAGTTTGGGTATACCTAACATAAGTATTATTTTTAGGAGAAAATCAGCTTTCATTTCGAAGAATGTTTGGACTATATTAAAGCCGGCGTTGAAGCAATTATTGAAGATGAAGTTACCTCCCGTTTTGAAGCTGAACAGTTGAAAAGTTGGAATTTATTGACGCGAACAAATCGTCAGTACGAATTTATCAATTGGAAAATAACTCTCATATGGGTGCTTGGATTTGCAGTTCGATACACAATTCTCATGCCTCTAAGAGTCTTGGTCTGCTTTATAGGTGTAAGTATACGTTTATGATATTGTAAAATAAAATATATATAGATGAAAAATTCTGAAAGAGACAGTGGTTAACGATTGGTTTACAGAATGAAGAAAACAAATAACGTGACATGTTGTTACTTTTCCATCATAGGTGGTCTTCGCTGTGTGTTCGAACAGTTTAGTGGCTTTAATTCCTTTCAAAATGATACGTCACTTCTTTGCGGACATTGCCTTCAAGGTAACGTTTCGCATTATTTGTCTGTCATTGTCTGCGGTGATCAATTTCTATAACGTACAATACAAACCAAAATCTACAGGTTTTTGTGTGGCAAATCACACTTCTCCACTTGATGTGGCCATATTATCAACTGATTGCACATTTTCCCTGGTGAGAATTAAGCTTAAATAAATAAACTTAAAATGTTTTACTAAAATGTAGCTTATTATTGCAATTGAATGTGCGCAGACCACTTGTTCCAAGACAACAAATTCATTATATATATTTTATGGGGCTACAATGCGAGAATGTATGCGTAATTTAATATATTAAAACGTGCGTCTATGTGATTACTGTTCTGTTTGTTTTCGTCCTGCGTCCTGTGTCTTTCATTAATATACATCATTTCTCCATCTCTGTTGTTGTTTTTTTGCATCCTTCTTTATGCATTCGTTATAATCAGGTAGTGTGGCTTACTATATGTACAGCGGTTGTGGGATATATGCCTGAGGGAGAACGAAAGCGTCACTTGGTTAATCGCATCCTGCGACATTGCTTTTCTGTATTGTCCAGTGCTATATCGGCAGTAATTAACTATCATAATGAAGAAAATCGTCCGACGACGGGAATATGTGTTGCCAATCATACAAGTCCCATTGATGTGCTAGTATTAATGTGTGACACAACTTATTCGTTGGTAAGTGGTATGCATGCTTTTTGTTTTTTATGTTATCGGCATTGCTTAATAAATGTTTGTTGGAATTTTAATTCGCATTATTTTTCTACCCACTACATGTGTAAGATACTGTTGGTTATGGCGAAGATCCACAAAAGATTTACTTTTTATATCGGCGTATTGACCTTAACGCCAATTTGATATATTCCTAATACTTTGTTAATGGGTTCATTAAAAATATATGGTTCAATGTAATTTATTCAAATGAAGAATAAATCAAGTAACATACCGTTCATTATGTAAATGTTTTTAAAATTTGATCCGATTTTGAGTAGTTCGCCATGGTCAGCAGTACACTTTATTAAATAAAACATTTTTAATTAGCATATTCTTTAAATTTCTATAAACCTAGATTGGACAGCGACACGGAGGTTTCCTAGGAATTCTCCAAAGAGCGTTAGCCCGTGCATCTCCACATATTTGGTTTGAAAGAGGTGAGGCCAAAGATCGTCATGCTGTAGCTGAAAGACTCAAACAACATGTCTCTGACCCCACGAATCCACCAATTTTAATATTCCCTGAGGGAACCTGTATCAACAACACTTCCGTAATGCAATTTAAAAAGGGCAGCTTTGAAGTAGGAGGTGTCATATATCCAGTGGCTATAAAGTAATTGAATACTTTTTATTATTATTTATTATGTATTTCATTAGAGATAATGGGGAAAGCGCGCTTGCTGAAAAAAGCACTGATGCGCAAAACAAATGTTAAAAATGTGGGATTTCGAATGTCTTTAAACCTTTCGCCGTGGGATACAAGTTACATTGAATTTGTCATTCCGTTTGTAACATCTCCAAATATACGTAATAGACCCCATTAGGTATAAAAAAACTTTATCAGCGCAATATTATAAGTCAATTTAACAATGTCCGTCTGTGTGTCTGCTGAAGTTAAGATACGGAAAAAAAATGTCACGTAGATTTTTGATATTCGCTTTCGTATAACTCCTATATAGAGGTATCTCTCGATATCTGCTACTATCATTTCACACTTTTTCACGAGATTGTTTCAAATTTGAAATTTAGGACTTGTAATGGGTTATACCCTCTGGGACATAACATTGTCTATATAGGTCCATGTTTTTCTAAATCCGTCGTACAACATTCCCTTCGGATATTGGGTATTTGGAGGATTTTTGCCAAAATTTCTATCGGGTTTGCTTAAAATTTTGTGTTTTTACTTCGTAGTGAGTTTTAAACCTTGGTTCCCTGAGCTCCTATATAACGGTAGCGCCCAACATTCGTATGACTTGAGTCACATATTTCACGAAATTATTCCAAATTAGGTTCCCTTTTTGGCATTGTGTCCCCATAATAAATGTTTTTTTTTTTCATGTTGGGGGTTAGTAAAAGTTCAACTGGCCAAACTTATCGTTTTTACTTGTTTTTTTTTTTTAATTGTGTACGCTTTTATGTCGTTGCGGTTGTGTCCAATTGTATTCTGTTTTATAGAGATTGCATCCAATAAGTTAATATAAGACTTGAAGAATGAAAATATTATAGTATGGTAATTATATACTGATATTTTCAAATGCCAAAATTTAAATCAATTCTATTGAAAATGTTTGTATAATCATTAAAATACCGAATACAATTTCCAGCTGCAGGGGTTGTTATCTATTGCGAGTTTCTAATACAAAATTTAGATCAAACAGCAAGGCGAGTGAGTTCAGTTGAAAAACGCAGTTAAAGTCTTGAACCTAAATAGACAATTTTCTGCCTCATTGGTAATTATATATTGATATTTTCAAATACTACAATTTTAATCAATTCTGTTGAAAATGTTGCTAAAATCATTAACATACCAAATATCGAGAAGTACTATTATATGGGGGCAATAGAGAAACCTGGATCCATATAGATAATGTTCTGTCCCGGAGATATAACCCATTACAAATAACCGATACCGAATTGAAAAAAAAAATCCGTTAAGAAATGTGGCTAAAATCATTAAAATACCAAACATCGGAAGATACGGTTATATGAAGTCTGTAGAGAAACGAGTATCTATGTAGACAGTTACCTGCTACAGTGGTTGGTATCCCCGACGAATATTTGTACGTGTTATGAACGGAAAGACAAATATAATTTTACCTACTTTTTATAGTGGAAGTGTATGTAGAATAACATTAATTTGGATAAAAAATAAGGACATTCATCTTAAATCGTTCGAAGTAAGCATTCCTAATATGGTTACAAAATCGGACCTATCACTACTTTATTTGAACTAATAAGTTATAAAAACATAGGGGTTTTCACGACCTCTTCTGAACATAGGCAAAAAAACTGGTCGTTAGAAAAAAAGTTACAATTTCAAAGGGATGCCAAAAATTGATGAACGTTTCCGCTAGATAGGTATTTTAAAGCAACTCAATGGAAAAATATTTCTACCAGGAGATGAAGTAAGGCCTTAGTCTTTTTTTGATGTCAAAAGGTTATCTACAAGAAATCAATCCAAAATTATTTTTTAAATTTTGATTTCCCCTTTATGATATCAAAAAGAAAAAAAAAAAAAAAAGTAAAATTAGTATATTCTTGAAGGTACTGGAACAGAGCAATATTTAGCCCCCTAGTTTTCCGTTCTATTATAGTTCTCTCTCTTTTGGAAGTTTGCTATTAAAAAGTACAATCAAAAAATCAACTTGAATTGAAAAACAAAATTAGAGCTATAATAATTATTTCATGAATGATAAATGCAAAAGTAACTTTATTATAATCACCAAAGGGATATCATATGTTTACAAAAGATAACCATCAACATTTATAAAAAATAGGAAAAGTAGAAGAATTATTTTCAAATATTGTTGATGTCAAAGTTGAATTTGTTCAACTTTAAAAATTTGTACATTCCATGTATTTCGTTGAAATTCATATAAATACATGGGTTAAAACTTTGTGATGAAAAACGTTGAAGGGGTATGTCGTGTAATCGTTTTTAACATACAAAAAAATCTTGCCAAAGTTTAAAGTTGTTTTGTTTAGAAGTTAGAACGTTCGACGTATTTCTGTAGTATTCATATAAATACAAGTATCCTACTATTGTAGTGAAAATGTCGCAGGCGTACGTCAGGTATTAGGTACACCTACAAAATTATTTTTTTGGGATAAAATGGTACTATTAGAACCACATTGAGTATAAAAAAATTGAGTTCTCAATTTATTTTTCACAATGTTCTCTCAGTTAAAAAAATGTGCGAAATATAACAGTAACTTTAAATTAACAAGACTCTAGCATCAGAGTTGTCTTTTTCAAATGGTACAAGTTTTTTACATTTCCAAACTGCACTCAATACAGTGGTGGTTTCTATATTTTCCTTTACGAAACGCGAAGATTAGCTTATTGGAATCAATCCGTATATAACAAATTAAAACTGAACCCAAAAAAACATGACTTACTTCTGGTATGCATATATATAATACACTCGTTAGTATTGAAATTGTTTAGTAACATACATGGTAGAAATAAGAAGGTAAATTAATGCATTTATATGTTTACAATTATATCAAAATTGTTCATTTGACAACATTTCATTGTCAAAATTTATACTTACAAATCTATTCTATACACGTACATTAGAGATGGGAACCTGTTTTCTTTGCAGTATAATTTGACAAGGTAAATTACAGAAAATGTAGAGATGGATATGCTTATTTGAAATGAATTTACCTCCTTACTTTTATCATGGTTACATTTATTTTTATTTTCTGGCTCTATTGATAAATGTTTGCAAAAATCATTTTCAATCTCTATATCCCCATACAGATACGATCCACGGTTTGGCGATGCTTTTTGGAATAGCTCCAAATATTCGATGTTACAGTACTTGTATATGATGATGACATCGTGGGCAATAGTCTGTGACGTATGGTATTTGCCTCCGATGTATAGGCAGCAGGGTGAATCAGCAATTGATTTCGCTAACCGCGTGAAAAGTGTGATCGCCAAGCAAGGAGGCCTGGTTGATTTGGTGTGGGATGGTCAATTAAAACGTATGAAGCCGAAAAAAGAATGGAAAGAAATGCAACAAGTAGAGTTTATAAAACGTCTTAAAGGAGATTAACATCATGTAAACGAATGTATTTCTAGGAATATTTTAGAATATGTTTCCAAAACCAATTTCCAAATATTCCAGCAAACTAAATAATTCTAATTTATTGTACCACATATACAAATTTTTCAAAGTAACTAATTAAGAAAAACCAAATAAAACAAAATGAATTTTTATGTGCACATGTTTTTGTATCAGTTGTACATACATTTAACATGAATTAGAAGCAGAATGTATACAGATTCGAGATGGGAAAATGTTTTCAATGCATAAGCTTATTTGATCATTAATGAAGTTACATTCTAAATGTTACCATGCGATATACAAAAGTAAGTACTATTAACTTTAATTTATTCTACATCAAGTCAGTATCTAAACCATGGTAGAACGAAGAAGGTAAAGCTATGTAATCATATGTTTTTATTTTTTTTTTTTTAAATTTATACATTTGACAACATCTCATTGTCAAAATCAAGTCAGTATCTAAACCATGGTAGAACGAAGAGGGTAAAGCTATGTAATCATATGTTTTTATTTTTTTTTTAATTTGTATATTTGACAACATCTCCAAATTTCACTGCAATTGGGAAAACATATCCTGTTTGGTGCATCAAATATTTGAAATCGAACGAAAAATATACATGGGAGCTATATTCAAATCTGTACCGATTTCAATATCATTTTGGAAATTTATTTTGCAACTAAATACCGTCACTCATTCTGAATTTCTTTGGAATCGGACATAAAAATTGGTTTGGTGCATAAATATGTGAAATCGATCGAAAATATATATGAGAGCTATATCCAAATTTGAACCAATTTAAATACAATTTGGCAAATTTATTTTTGTACCGAATTCCGTTACACATTCCAAATTTAAAGACTGTATCTTTAAGCGATAAACAGAAATTGGCATACACGGAGGCATCACCGAATCTGATGCTACATATCCAGTTACTTTCAGGCGATGCTGTAGTATATTTAGAAATTTTCGGGAAGATATGTTTAGCTGTTTATGAGCCTATAAATTACAAACAAACAAACAAACTGATTCCTAATTTCATTGATATTGGAGATATATAGCGGGTTTGGTGCATCAAATATGAGAAATCGCCCGAAATATTTATGAGGGCTTTATCCAAACCTCAACCGATTTGTATATAAGTTGGCGAATTTATTTTTGTACCAAATTCCGCAACACATTCCAAATTTCACTGCAATTGGGGAAACATATCCCGTTTGGTGCATCAAATATTTGAAATCGGACGAAAAATATACATGGGAGCTATATTCAAATCTGTACCGATTTCAATATCATTTTGAAAATTTATTTTGCAACTAAATACCGTCACTCATTGTGAATTTCTTTGGAATCGGACATAAAAATTGGTTTGGTGCATAAATATGTGAAATCGATCGAAAATATATATGAGAGCTATATCCAAATTTGAACCAATTTAAATACAATTTGGCAAATTTATTTTTGTACCGAATTCCGTTACACATTCCAAATTTAAAGACTGTATCTTTAAGCGATAAACAGAAATTGGCATACACGGAGGCATCACCGAATCTGATGCTACATATCCAGTTACTTTCAGGCGATGCTGTAGTATATTTAGAAATTTTCGGGAAGATATGTTTAGCTGTTTATGAGCCTATAAATTACAAACAAACAAACAAACTGATTCCTAATTTCATTGAAATTGGAGATATATAGCGGGTTTGGTGCATCAAATATGAGAAATCGCTCGAAATATTTATGAGGGCTTTATCCAAACCTCAACCGATTTGTATATAAGTTGGCGAATTTATTTTTGTACCAAATTCCGCAACACATTCCAAATTTCACTGCAATTGGGGAAACATATCCTGTTTGGTGCATCAAATATTTGAAATCGGACGAAAAATATACATGGGAGCTATATTCAAATCTGTACCGATTTCAATATCATTTTGAAAATTTATTTTGCAACTAAATACCGTCACTCATTGTGAATTTCTTTGGAATCGGACATAAAAATTGGTTTGGTGCATAAATATGTGAAATCGATCGAAAATATATATGAGAGCTATATCCAAATTTGAACCAATTTAAATACAATTTGGCAAATTTATTTTTGTACCGAATTCCGTTACACATTCCAAATTTAAAGACTGTATCTTTAAGCGATAAACAGAAATTGGCATACACGGAGGCATCACCGAATCTGATGCTACATATCCAGTTACTTTCAGGTGATGCTGTAGTATATTTAGAAATTTTCGGGAAGATATGTTTAGCTGTTTATGAGCCTATAAATTACAAACAAACAATCAAGCGTACAAACATTTCCCTCTTTTATAGCTATAGATGAACAATAGTGGCTCTTAAGTTTTAATAATTATTATTAATATACATATGTTGTAAAAGTACAAGAATTAAGTTAATGCATGAGCTTCAAATTTTGGCTTAGGAGAGGCTAAATGACAATGGTGGCAAGTTGAATCCTCTGGTAAACGGACAATGGGATTACCTTCTAAATTCATCCATGGAATATAATCAATATGAGTATAATAATTACGTTTACTATCAAGAATAACACCAAAGTGTCAGATTACCTGCACAAGCATAATAATTACGTTTACTATCAAGAATAACACCAAAGTGTCAGATTTCCTGCACAAATTCAATGTCTATACCATCAAGTGAGATGTGTGAATTTAAATCGAATGTCTGATCTTAGATGATTGCCAAAGTTTTACATATGGAACTATTAATGATTAGAAAGTTCTTTTCAACCAAGTTTTAATATTGTTTAATGAATCGTTGTAATGCCCAAAACACAGAGCTGAATAAGATTGTTTGAAATGATGTTACCTTCTTAATTCTACAATGCAGTATATAATTAAAGTCACAAGAAAAATTAAAACTTCTTGAAGTATTACTCCAAGGCATCGCATCTCCTGTACCAAATAAAAATGTAAATCATCATGCGAGATGGATACAACAATTGGTAGCCTGATGAAAGCTTATAACTAAAGATTTTCATTTGGAACTACCAATGATTAGAAAATTATTTTTCAATCAAGTTTTAGTATTGCTTAAGGAATCGTTGCAATGTCTCGGCTGAATTACCTGAAAAAGCAGATGTATATCATCGCCATATAGTAACAAGTTAAAAAGCAGCAAGTTCGGCCGGGCCGAACTTTGAATACCCTCCACCATTTGGAACGAATTTGGAAATTTTCAAAAAATAAAATCTGTTAAAATCATTAAAATACCGAAAGTAGCTGCTATATTGGGGTCCATTCGACGTGGACCTTCATAGGCATTGTTTGTCATAAGACATTACCATATTCAAATTCGAAACTTGAAATAAACGGCGAATAATTTAGCTAAAATCATTAAAATATATACCGTATACAGGGTTGCCCATATTCGACGGACCCATCTGGCAACGCCATAACTTTTGACAGAGATGTCACATCGCTTAATGACATACCGCGTTTGAAGCGTCAGTCCAAGCAGATTTTTACCATGAACCAATACACGCCACACGAGCGCTCTGAAATAGTTGAAATTTACAAGAAGTCAATTGTGAAAACTCAACGTGCTTTTAAAACATTAAAAAATGTGAGGAGTGCGCCTTCTAAGAACACCATTAAGCGTTTATACGAAAAATTTTCGACTGGTAAGGCTCTTTCTAATCCGAAGAGGCCATATAAAAGTCGACCAAGCCGATCGGCCGAGAATATCGCTGCAGTACGAGCCAGTGTTGAGAGGTTCCCAAGAACATCCCAACGCCGTTCTCGGAGCTATACGAAGACCTGGACCTGCATAAACAGTTTTCTGTCACAGGCTGTAACATCCATTACGAACTTTAATTGCGACATCTCAAACAATTTCGGTTAGTATTGTACCTAAAATCGTCAAAATACCGAATATAGGGAGGTGCTGATATATGGGGCCTATACGAATACCTGGACCTGCATAAACAATTTTCTGTCATAGACTGTAGTTCTCATTACGAACTCTAAATACATAATTTGCAACTACTCCGGTGAGTAATGTCGCTAAAATCATCAAAATACCGAATATCGGGAGGTACCATTATATAAAGGCTATACGAAGACGTGGAGCTGCACAGACAAATTTCTGCCTTAGGTTGTAGTATCCATTAGACAATTTTCTGTCATAGGTGTGGTATCCATTACGAACTTCAAATACCAAATTTGAAACAAAACCGGTGAATAATGTCGCTAAAATCATCAAAATACCGAATATTGGTATTACGAACTCGAAATACGTAATTTGAAACTACTCCGGTGAATAATGACGCTAAAATCATCAAAGTACCGAATATTGGGAGGTACCGTTATATGGAGGCTATATGAAGACGTGGACCTGCACAGACAATTCTCTGCCTTAGGCTGTAGCATCTATTTCGAACTTCAAACACCAAATTTGAAACAATTCCGGTGAATAATGTCGCTAAAATCATCAAAATACCGTAGCCTTGCATACTGTGATTTTCAATCCCTTCCAGTCGGAAGTAGCCTTGGCAATATCATCACCAACTTTCTTTGGTGACAAACCCAAGGGACCAATTTTAGGGGCCAAGGAAGATGTGGCGCCGACTTCACCGCCAACGCAGCGCAAGTAAACTAACTTAATTTCAGTAGGATCAAACTTTGGCGGCATGGTGATTAACCTCCTGAAAACCTGCACAGACAATTCTCTGCCTTAGGCTGTAGTATTTATATCGAACTTCAAACACCAAATTTTAAACAATTCCGTTGAATAATGTCGCTAAAATCATCAAAATACCGAATATGGGGGCTATACGAAGACGTGGACCTGCACAGACAATTCTCTGCTTTAGGCTGTATTATCTATATCGAACTTCAAACACCAAATTTGAAACAATTCCGGTGAATAATGTCGCTAAAATCATCAAAATACCGAATATCGTTATATGGGAGTTATATGAAAACGAGGACCTACTATTTACGAACTTAACCTGCGTACTGGCAAAATAAACATGTGTGCAAAATTTTAGCTTTCTATCTCAATTCGTTCGAAAGATAGCGTGATTACAACAGACGGACACGCACAGACAGACCAATCCCACGGCGACCGGTTCTATGTACCGGATTGACTAGGAGGTACAATTCTCGACCAGGGGCCGCCAACCCAGCAAATACATGTTCGTGTTCGTCCATTTTTCTGACGTGGGAGCAACATTACCCGGAATGTTTGCTCCGTATTCTCTTGGTCCGAGCCGGGACCCAGACCAACCCCGGACCATGGTTCTGCTCCGTTTGTTGTAATCGCATCCACCACAGATTGGTTTCGGTGAGATGCAACGGATGTACGGAGTGGGTGCATTTCCAGAATTAAACCGGATACAGGAGTACAGCGATAGGGACTACATTGCTTCCTGCTGCGTCAATGTAGACCCCAGTGAGTCTTCATCTTCGGCGTCCTCATCGTCGCCGCAATATGAGACTCCCCCGCAATCTCCTCAACAGCAATTTACGCAGCAGTTGACGCCACACATTGCTGTTCATGTTCCGGATAATGCATCATTTCTCCAGTTTAATTGTGATGGTCTCCGAGGTAAGATTAACGAAATTGTAAGCTTTATGAGTCGGAAGAACATCAAGGTCGCAGCGATCCAGGAAACGAAGCTGAGTACCACCTGCAGACTTCAAAGTTGTGATGGATATAACGAACTGAGGAAGGATCGCTTCAGAGGTGGAGTTGGAGTATTAGCGTTCCTATTGCACCACTCTGTCCAGTACAGACCTATCTCGCCTGAGCTTGACTCTAGTGACCGGTACATGGAATGTATGGGGGTAGCGGTCAGTTGTGGAACCGCCGAGGTAGAGGTGCTCAACGTTTACATTCCGCTGTTAAATAGCTGTGCCCCACGTTATATGCATAATATCAGTTCACTACTGGTAGGCAATAACCGTCTGGTGCTAGGGGATTTCAATGCCCATCATGAATTATGGCATTCCGTCCTAGATAATGACCAGAGAGGCATGGCGCTGGCTGGCAAATTGATAGATCCACGTTTCGCACAGTGAATGAGGATGCGCCCACCAGAATAAGGGGAGACTGCCACAGCTCTCCGGACACACCATCGTGTCCCCAGGTCTGACAAGGAGGTACCAGCCGAGGAGGTACCACCACAATTTACGTTGGCAGATGTTGCACATGTCATCAGAAGCGCAAAGTCACCCAAAGCGCTTGACGGAATCTCAATAGTGATGTTGAAGCAACTGGATGAACCAGGAGTTGAGTATCTCACAAAGCTTCTCAATTTGTCGTTAGCCACCCTAGTAGTTCCTGATGCCTGGAAAATGGGCAGGGTGGTCCCGCTACTGAAGTCAGGCTAGGATGTCAGCAAAAGTGATTCATACAGGCAGTGGAAAAATGTTCAGTCCTGCCAGAATGTCGTGCCTTCTCATGACACCTGTCGATGACCTACATGAGGAGGCGAAGGTCTTACCGGTGCGACAGCATAACAGAATGCTGTCAATGCAAAACCTGCTTGGGTGTTATAGACAAAGCCATCCGAATCACCATCTTGTGGATAGGCAACCTTCAGGCAAAGACCTTCATGATCTAGAGAGAGAGGTACAGAGGTATGAGAGAGAGCCTCTAGATCAACATGCCTATCAAGCAGGACTGAATAGTATTCACTCTAATGCGGTCTCAGAAGCCATTGAAGGATATAGAGTGAATACTGTGGTAGGAGTAGTTTTGGCTCAATTACGACCCGGATGGTGCAGCCGTCTAAATTCCTACTGGGCCCGGATTAACAGCGATGTGCAGAACATCTGCCCAGCATATGGCACAGGCCCACATGACACGCAGCCAAGCCTACTCACCTAACTGCAGTCTCGTTATGGACACAACACATACAGCATTACAAACAGAATGACAAAGTTAATATACCCCACATAGTATGGTGGAGGATGATTTATACAAGTAAATATATCTTTTAGATAGGATATGAATAAAAGTTGAACTATGCGGAACAATACATTGGAAATGACAAATCGAAGAGCGTGCCCTATTTACAGAAACAAATTGCGAACGATTTGATTTGTGAACGACAATATCAATGTCAGAGACATTTAGAATGCTTTGACTGTATGCATTTGACATCAACTCATTGTCAAAATGTATATTCATAAATCCATTGCATATATACAAATCCAAACAGGAAACCTGTTTCCTATGCCAGTAAAGTCGACAACGTAAATTACAAAGAAAAGATATCAGTCCAAATTTTGACTGAATTTTGGCGAAAATCGAATCAGATATAGCTATAGCTCTCATATATATGATTCATCCGATTTGGCGTTTAATTCCCTCACATTCGTAATATGCATTTGACAATAATGGTATTTGGTGCCAGATATCTTATAGAGCTCGGAAATACCTTTGCCAAATTTTATCAGGAATGGCTTTGATTTATTGTGCAAATAATGGCTAATATCATCTCAAATGAAGTGAATTTCGGGACGTACGTTTCCATTTTGTGGAACTCGGCTCCAACATATTTTTTTTTAATATAATCCTTCTCGGAGTGATATCATGCACTCTATTTGTTGAACTCGGCTCCGATATATATTTTTTAATATAATCGTTCTCGGAGTGATATCATGCACTCTATAGCCTTGTTATTTGGTATAAAAGAATAAAATGTCTCCGTCAAATTTAGTGAAAATCAATTCAGAATTAGATATGCCTCCTATGTATTAGCTCCCTCTGAAACCAAACTGTAACTGCTCTAAAGCCAAAAGTTGATAGTTGGTGTGATATACTTCAAATAAATTCTTTTGTTACGGGAGCTCCACTAATGATGCTTAGTGGTGTAGTGTATCATATAGTCGGCCCAGAAAAATTAAGTCTACTTGAAGTATTACTCCAAGGTATCGCATCTTCTGTGCCAAAGGAAAATCTAAATCATCGGTAGCCTTATTTAAAGTTTAGGCTAAAGTTTTACATTTGATCATTGATAGAATCACTTTTCAACAATGTTCTTATTTTGCATATTAAACCGTTGCAATGTCTCGGTTGAATTACCCGAAAAAAGTAGATATATATCATCAAGAAATAAGACACTGATGCTTTAAAAATGTAAATATATAATTTTTATGGAAGATACACAATTGTGGATTTAATGTTGAACCTTATGGGAAACAACAATGAACATATCTTTGCAACATAGAATTGCACGAAACTAAACCATTAAGAGGGTTGGGCGAAACTAAATCGAAAGCCGTATTTTGGATGAAGGGCAAAGTGTTTTTATTTGGAACTATTAATGATTAAATAATCACCTTTCAACCAAGCAGAAGTGATAATGTTTTACATTAAACATTTAACAACGCCTCACTGTGGAAATGTAAATTCATAAATTTATTGTATGTAAACAAATCAGACATGGGAACCTGTGTTCTAAGCGGCAAATTTGATAGGGGTTTGATCATATATTCGGCCCATCCGACTTCTGACCTTTCTTTACTAGTTTGAACTACCGCGTTGGCATTGAACATTTCTTGGTCACACTTTTTTATATTTAACTTTCAAGTCCTTAAATACTTCGAAATTCTTAAAAAATGCGTGCAATTTTTGGAATTTATTTTATTTAAAAGTGTATGTTGTATTTAATCTTCATATATAATTAATTATATTGTGAAGTTATTTTCATTCATATTCATTAATTTGTTTGAAGATAATTATTATTAGTATTCCCAAACAGCCAAATGGGTCTAATGTGTGGTTCATATTTGCCTTCCAAATTACGACATTGAGTGTTATGTAGCATGTTTATTTGTTTCTCGTTTTGTATATTAAATGTGTTTGATGTTTTTTTTTTTATAAAAAGAACTAAAGCTAAAAATCTAACTGTATAGATCATCATCTCCATTGTCACCTGGTGGATTCGCTGGTGCATTTGGACCAGATCCCTGTGTGTTGCTAGAATTTCCAGGGAATCTGCAGTCATAATAAAATTAGAAATAAAAAAAATATTGATTAATTCCATTAAACTTTACCTAAAGTTCTGTCCAAAACCACGAGATTGTTGTAAAGTTTGGGCAAACATTTCATATTTTCTGATATCATTATCCGATACCGAACGACGGGCAAATCTCATTGCTTCCTCAAAGTGAGCACGAGTAATTTCAGGAACAGGATCCTCCTCATCCATCTGAATAAAAATAATTTGTATCTTAAAATCTATGGCTATAATATTCTATTGTTTACTTACGTCCATGGCCGACGTTTGATTTTCACCACGTTCCTTTTCGCGCTTAATTTCAGCTTCAATTGCCTGACGAATAGCCAATTTGCAAGCGCGTTGACAAATTTCAGTCAAGTCAGCACCTGAGAATCCTTGCGTAACCTTGGCAATATAGGAAAGATCAACATCCTTTGCCAAAGGTGACTTCCTTAAGTTAGCTTTAAGAATAGCTTCGCGTGACTTATCGTCAGGAAGTGGAATATAAATAAGCTGATCCAAACGACCAGGACGTAATATAGCTGGATCGATAATATCAGGGCGATTAGTTGCTCCAATAATGAACACATTTTTCTTGGCTCCCATGCCGTCCATTTCTGTTAGAATCTGGTTAATTACGCGATCAGCGGCACCGCCAGCATCCCCAACATTTCCACCACGAGCTTTTGCTATAGAATCCAATTCATCGAAGAAAAGCACGCAAGGCGCAGCTGAACGAGCTTTATCAAAAATGTCACGGACATTAGCTTCCGATTCGCCAAACCACATAGTAAGTAGTTCGGGACCCTTTACAGATATGAAGTTGGCTTGACATTCATTAGCAATGGCCTTTGCCAATAAAGTTTTACCGCAACCAGGCGGTCCATAGAACAAAACACCACGACTGGGTTGCATGCCGAATTTTAAAAACTTGTCTGGATGTTCAACGGGATACTGTACTAATTCTTGCAACTCCTTCTTGACATTTTCCAAACCACCGATATCGCTCCATGTAGTATTGGGAATCTCCACAACAGTTTCACGCAAAGCAGATGGGCTGGACTTTGTCATGGCATAACGGAAATTTTCCATTGTAACGGCCAATGATGCCAATACCTCTGCATCAATTTTGTCGTCTTCCAAGTCGATGAGATCCATCTTTTCCCTAATTTGCTGCATGGCTGCTTCTGAACACAACGATGCTAAATCAGCACCGACATGACCATGAGTTTCCGATGCGATTTGTTCCAAATCTACATCATCAGCTAGTTTCATATTTTTAGTGTGGATGCGTAAAACTTCAAGACGGCCAGTCGCATCTGGAATGCCAATATCAATTTCACGATCGAATCTACCGAAACGTCGCAGAGCAGGGTCGATAGAGTTTGGCCTATTAGTAGCAGCCATAACAATAAGGTGAGAACTCTTTTTCATTCCGTCCATCAAAGTCAATAATTGTGAAACAATACGACGTTCAACTTCACCGTGAGTTTTGTCACGTTTGGGTGCAATAGCGTCAATCTCATCGATGAATATAATAGCTGGTGAATTTTTTTCAGCTTCTTCAAAAGCTTTCCGAAGATTTGACTCAGATTCGCCGGCCAATTTTGACATAATTTCAGGACCATTGATCAAAAAGAAAAATGCTCCAGTTTCATTTGCCACTGCACGAGCAATCAACGTTTTACCAGTACCTGGAGGGCCATACATAAGAATGCCTCTTGGTGGTTTTACACCAATAGCTTTAAAAAGAGATGGGTGACGTAAAGGAAGCTCAACCATTTCTTTAATCTGTGCGAGTTGTTTACGGCAACCTCCAATATCGTCATAGCCGACAGTATTAAGAGACTCTTCCTCTTCCTGTTTGCAAACAAATTAATAAAAAAAGAATATTCGAAGCACATGTATCAATTATTTTGTTCCTACCTCTCTTTTGATAGGATCCCCATCGCAAAATATGACCGTCTCTGGAGCAACAATGCAATACGGTTCTGGATCAGTTAAGACTACTTTGAATTCAATTGGTCGCAGTGCAGCACGGACAATGAATATATCGCCCATATGGATAGGTCTGTACGCCTCCAAGAAGTAGGGCTTCAAATAAATTTCAAAGAGATTTCCAGTAATACCTTCGGTAGTATCATCAATAGGTAAAATACGAACACGCTTGCCATATTTTACATCTGGACAAGGATGAATGGAAACAACGTCCGAAAGGTGGACGCACAAGTTGTTACGCACAACACGGTTCATACGAATTTTACTGTCGGGACAAGTATCGTCTGAGAGTACAATACACACGGTTTCCTTGCGGCGTTTCCCTTTTAGAATAACGGTATCGCCACGGAATAGCTGGAGCTCGTCCATCTTTGCCTATTGGCGAGAAAAGGCGATAAGTCCCTCCTTAAACAAAGTAAATAAATGAATAAAATACTAACCTGCGAGAGAGATACCACAGAGTTGTCATCGTTGGTGGCTTCTTCGACAATTAAGCGGTTAGGGCGATCTTTGCGTTTAAGAATAGCAGTAGCCAAGTCCTCACTACATAACGCAAAAGGGAAAACATATATGTATATCAAAATGTAATGTCATGGATACACAAGAAATCACTGAACGGTCTTTACTATGCCCTGCTATCATTTTAATGTTAAACATGTTCAAACTATCTATAAGATTTCAACTATTGTCCAATTGTTCAACCCCGATGGTATTAAAGAATAACTTAAAACTTTATTAATATTGTCTTTTCCTTAAACTGGTCATCAGAACCTCAAAATGGGTTTGAGAATTGGGGGTATCTTTCATTACGACTACAACCACCACGGCTGCAGTTATTGTTCGCCATTTTAATTCTTTGTTTATAAAATGTGGTACGACGATAGACATGTTTATACACAAATTTCTGAAATTAATAAATGGGACATTCGTCCTCAAGGAAAAAAAGTCGATTCCTTTTTTAAAACGTTTACAAAATTACAATAACTTATAAAATGTACACTTTTAAAGTAGTTGTGCCTAACAACATTTAATACTATTTATTGTTATCACATATGTCCTAAAAAATGTATATATTACTGTCCCTTAACATTGAATAAAAATCGCTTGCAATGACAACGCGAAATTGAAACAATTTTGACATCGTTTTGCACCTCAGCATACCCTTTATGCACTTGACTAGTCGGCTTTGTGCGAAATTAGATGCGACAACACAAAAGTGTTCTCTGACCAGGAGTACACTAATAGTTACTCACCTCTTAGAATCAGCCATTGTTTTATTGATGTCCCTTGAAAGATTTACTTAATTTAATTAACAAATCGTACTTAATTTTGTCAGCGAAAACAATTAAATTCACACCGCACGAACGTATATTGGAACTACTCGTACGAAAAGCTGACTCGATGCAGTGCTGACAACTTTTCAGCAATGAATATTTTGCAATGTCATACTTGAACAGTGTTGCCAGTACTAAAGATTTTATCCCAATCGGTATACTTTTTTCGTCGTACAATAAAAAGGTAACGTAAAGCTATCAGCTGATTTTGTTTTCTTGTTATGTATCTATTGTTTTAAAAAATAAAAACAAAAAAATTAAAAATAAGGATAGATGAAACATGCATTTCGCGCCTCATATTAACTATTTTTGTAACATTGTAAGTTTGATTCATGCATTTTTAAGTCATTTCAAAATTGAGAAAAACTACCAAAGAAATGAGAATAGCTTTTTGCATCTAATTTTGAATAATTTTTAAGAATGCGATCATTGTCTTAAGATGAGAATACATAAAACGCTTTTTTGACTGGGTTTAAGTCATCGGCGGGCTTCTGTGTAAAAGAATGGTCCGAAATTGAATTAAATAACCTAAAACTTATTTTCTCTTTCACGAAGAAGTCAGACAAAAGTGCGTTTTATTTATTTTCATCTTTAGGGCCTTATTGTACCATGACCTCTCTAAAAAGTTGACAAATAACATTTTGGGGATTTTTGAGAGAAAATAGTAGAGACAATTCTTTTATTACTGCGAGTACTGACATTTTGTTGCAATGATGAATTTTAAACGGAATTTCACATGGTATAATTCATGGCAGAAGAATACAAATACGTTAAAAAAAATACAAATATGTTAATAAAATTCTAAAGTTTTTTCAAATGTAAGTAGATTTTTATATGTTTTCTTATACTACGTCATTCGAAGACTATTATAATACGCATTTTTCAACAATTTTTACAAATTTAAATAATTTTTCATTCAACATTTTCAATTCCAAAATTGGTTTGACAGTTAATTGTCCCAGCAGCTGTGTCGACGCGTCTACCTATATTCTTCTACCATGGTATAATTATTACAAGTAACACCAAGTCCCAGCTGATTTGACTCTATAGAAATACTAGTGCCAAACTCGATATGACGTTTTGTTATTTAATTCCATTTCTTGACATACAATAGGTATACCCTTTTTATACCCTCCACCATACTATGGAGGAAATAATGATCTTAGACCCATTACATTGATTACAACAGACAGACGGACATGGCTAAATCGTCTTAGAATTTTACGTCTGTCTGTTGTAATCACGCTATCTTTCGAACGAATTGAGATTGGAGGCTAAAATTTTGCACACATGTTTAGTTTGCCAGTAGGCAGGTTAAGTTCGTAAATGGGCCATGTAGGTCCACGTCTTCATATAGTCCCCATATAACGGTACCTCCCTATATTCGGTATTTTGATAATTTTAGCGACATTATACACCGGAATTGTTTCAAATTTGGTGTTCGAAGAAATTGAAAATTGTCTTTGCAGGTCCACTTCTTCGTATAGCCCCCATATAACGGTACCTCCCAATATTCGGTATTTTGATGTCTAAAAATTGGTATTTGTAGGTCATAATGGGTTCTAGCTCAGGTGGCGAAACCTGTCACCGGGTTAGAACCATATATTAACTACACGTACCAATTTTTATAGAAATATCGAAGATCGACATTTTCGTGAGAAAATATATATATATATATATATATATATATATATATATATATATATATATATATATATATATATATATATATATATATATATATATATATATATATATATATATATATATATATATATATATATATATATATATATGTATATATATTTGCGTGGTAATTTATGTGCTGCTAATATGGATGCTCCTTTGCTGCATTTTTCTTATGCCCTGTTCGATCAAACGCATAACAATACGTGAGAGAAGTTATATTAAATAGTAGTGAATACATTTTTTACTTCACAGGAATTCCATTTTATATTTCTGTTTCATATATTCAATTTCAAATTTACCTACTGTCTTGTATTAATGTGTTAAGATGCCAACAAAACAGGATTTTTCCGCATATTTTCCCAATTAAGAATTGAAAAATATTGAGCGAGTGCCAGATCTCTGTCCATAACTACTAGAATACGCAATTTACAAGAATAATATGAATTATTATTTCTTTTTATACTTCTAAGAGTGTTAATTGTTTTAAAGTCTAGTACGAATAAAATGTAAAGATTCGCTTTATATAAAACTTCACCATTATCTTATGTAATTCGAAACATATTAATTGTAATTTGAAACAGATAAGTCGAACAATTCGAGATACTATTGGAATGATACGCATTACCAATGGAATCTTTCGAATAACAATTGGAATGATCGAATTACAACTGAAATAATTCCATGGCGGAGGGTATATAAAACAAATATTTCTGCCACCGTCAACCTTCAAATATCTTTGAACACTAATTGGCGAAAGCATTTGTCCCTGATGACCCGACCAGAACTCCGCATATATTTCATTTACTATATGTAAGCACAAAAAACCTCTCAAAGAGAGAGAAATTCACCCCATAAATCTCCTTTTTGCTTGTTTACAACAAATGTTACCACATAAGCTCTACAACAAGAGAACAAAAATCCCCCGACAGATTGACTGAATTCGGACGTAGGGCGGTCAGACATGACGAAAAAACTTCCTACTTTGAGCAGACGCATCGGACCTCCGACATTTGGTTGCTGGAAATACACACTCACTAAATGTAAACACACGTACACATAAATGTCGACGACAAAGTCAGTGTGTCGAAAAAATCACGGTTCATGCAATTCGTCTGCGCTACCCTTTATTTTTCAATAAAATATTTCCTAGTGCGGCATAGGACTATACTACACCTTTTTCAGTTGTAATTCGAATATTTTTTTATTTTATTTGTAACTTTTATTTGTAATTCGAGAATTCCTTTTGTAATTCGAATTATTTCAGTTAGAATTCGAGAGTAATTCGAAGACTTCCATTTGCATTTCTAACTGAAATAATTGAAATAATTCGAATTACAATTAAAGTCCAATCGAGTTACAACTTAAATAATTTGAATTACAATTGGAACTTTCGAATTACATCTGAAAAAGGTGTAGACAATTTTGGCCAAAAAATAGTAGCATAGCTGCCTTCTTCTGATTAGCTGACATGTTGATTTTGAAATATTGCCAACTAATTTTGAAATTTTCTTAGTTCTTAGAAAAGTGAAAGCATAGTCAGCGCCTCGCTCCATTTTCTTGCTTGGAAATACTTTCAGTACTTTCCGTTCCGTTCCAATAACGTTTGACACTTATGTTCCAATTTGATTTATGTCCGCATCGCTATCTTTGCATCAAAATTGTTTTGTGTTACCAGATACACACTGACAGGAATTTTAAGACAGTTAATTCTAAAAGATAGTTAATAAACAAGTCAAAAAGTAGTAAGTTCGGCCGGGCCGAACTTTGAATACCCTCCACCATTCGGAACGAATTTGGAAATTTTCAGAAAATAAAATCATTAAACATTCTGTTAAAATTTTAAAAATACCAAATATAGGCATTATATTGAGGTGTATACGATGTAGGCCTACATAGGCATTGTTTGTCATAAGCTATTACCATATTCAAATTCGTAACTTGAAATAAAGGGTGAACAATGTTGCTAAAATCATCAAAATATCGTATATAGGGAGGTACCGTTATATCGGAGCTGTGCGAAGACCTGGACCTGCGTAGACAATTTTCTGTCACAGGCTGTAGCATCCATTACGAACTTCAAATACCACACCTCAAACAATTTCGGTGGGTATTGTACCTAAAATTGTCAAAATACCGAATATAGGGATGTACTGATATATGGGCCCTATACGAAGACCTGAACCAGCATAGACAATTTTCTGTCTTAGGGTGTAGTATTCAATTCGAACTTCAAATACCAAATTTGAAACAATTCCGGTGAATAATGTCGCTAAAATCATCAAAATACCGAATATAGGGAGGTACCGTTATATAGGGGCTATACGAAGACGTGGACCTGCACAGACAATTTTCTGTCTTAGGGTGAAGTATCCAATTCGAACTTCAAATACCAAATTTGAAACAATTCCGGTGAATAATGTCGCTAAATTCATTAAAAAAACCGAATATCGGGAGGTACCGTTATATGGAGGCTATATGAAAACGTGGACCTACATGGCCCATTTACGAACTTAACCTGCCTACTGGAAAACTAAACATGTGTGCAAAATTTTAGCTATCTATCTCAATTCATTCGAAAGATAGCGTGATTACAGCAGACAGACAGACGGACAGACAGACGCACAGACAGACAGACAGACAGACGGACATGGCTAAATCGTCTTAGAATTTTACGCTGATCAAGAATATATATACTTTGCTGGGTCTGACATGAGTATTTCGAGGAGTTACAAACGGAATGACAAAGTTAATATACCCTCCATAGAATGGTAGAGGGTATAAAAAGAAAAGCAATTGAAAATTGCTTAAAAAAGATTGGCAAAAACGAACAAGGAAGCAGAAGCGAAACAGAAAACTAACTATTATTATAGTGTACAAAATACTTTGTACATACTTTTGAGTGCGGCTGAGGCGCTGGGAAAATCTAACCATTAAAAATAAATATTTAAAAATTGTCAATTTCCCAGTGGTCATAAAATATCACATGTGTACAATTCAGTGATCTTGTGCGCTGTCGCATACGATAATGTGTAGGATAATAAAGGTCATAACCCACACACACAGATATTGATGCGCCAGTAGGTAGCCAAGATCACTTGAATGAAGGGACACGCAGCCATGTAATGTTTCCTTTTAAATCTAATAATAGATAAGAACAATTGTGTGGCTGCGACTAGGTTAAGTTAGATTAGTTTTAGTAGTACGTAAGGAACATATTTTAAAAATAAAATCAGAATTGAATCAACAGCCATACGATACGGTTGTGTTTTCTCTTCTCCCGCTTACATTTGGTCAATCGAGCCTTCACTTTTTTATAAAGTGAAAAGAACTAGTGGCCGTAAAAAAAAAAAAAATTGTAGGAGTTTTCCCCCACCAGTGGTAAGAGACTCACTACAAGCAGAAATAGAT